GATTGGTTTTTTTGTTCTTCCTTTATCTTCCACTATTAAAAATAGTACAGTAAGAATCCCAGAGAGGAGAGTAGGACAAGGACTTCAGTTAGTTCTCTGAGGACATGGGCTAGCTGTGCCTACTCAGCTAAAAAGAAGAAAAAGCACTTGGGCAAAAATTTAGATTCTCTTTTGTAGATATTAGACAGGAGCAAAACAGTCCCTATAATCAGGCACTAGGTCAGATTTAACTAGGTGAAATTTAACAGGGAAAAGGGTAAGGCTAGGGTTAAAAGCCCAATTACATGAACTACATAATGGCAGAATTTGGCCATAACAATTTAGCCTTGTTAAAGGGTGCTATAGGATGATGATTGCCTTAATGAGAACTATCAGTATGGAATGAAATGACAGGTTTCTAAAAACTAGCATGACCTTTAGCTGCTACAAAGTATCCAGACTGGGAATTGCAGGTCTGTAGATGTCAGTATGGAAAGGGAAGTCTCCATGGACTATGCATATTTTGGGTCAGGTTGGCCAAGAAATTTATCACTTCAGGCAGTTTTAAATATGTGGGGTTGTTTCACTCTCATGTCTTCCTAACTGGGGACCCTCAGGTGGGGCTCTGGTGGCTAGAATGGAACATGTCCACAGTAAATATCTGGGGTTTGTTTTGTTTTTTCCAGTGAGGCTTATTTTGACCCTAGACATACCAAGTATGAGTCAAAGAAGTGGGTGCAAGCTTCCAGATCAATGGGTCAGTTTTTTAGAGACTGTGGTTCAGAGCACTAAATCATAACCTTGCCCCCCTACCCCAGTGGCACATATCTTAAGGGAAGCATTTCCCATGGTCATATCTTGGTTGTGTGTCATTTACTACACTGGCTTCTGAGTTTTTTTCAGGAAGCATAGTATAGTGAGTAATATGGTAGTGGTTCAGATATACTAGCTACAAGGCCCCCAGGTTGTAGAGGCACTTGTGTGTTCTAATAGGTGGGAGCATTTGGTTAGAAATGGAACTAGGGCCAGTGAAATGAATCATTGGGTGAAAGTGTTTGTCATTCAAGCCTGATGATCAGGGTTCAATCTCTAGGTTGGTGGTGGAAGAAGAAAACAAACTCTCAGAAATCGTCCTCTGACCTGTTCACGTTTTGTAGCATGTACACACCTGCATTTTCTCTCATACATAACTATACACACACAAATAAACAAACAAATAGGGAGGTAGGGAGGGAATTGCCTCTCTCTGAGTGAATATGAGCTGTTAGAAAACATACGTTTGAATAAATGAGCGTCAAATTCTCATGTGGGAAGAAACAATGATGGACAGTGCCTGGATAAAACAGTGGTGATAGCTGGGCGTTGGTGGTGCACGCCTTTAATCCCAGCACTCGGGAGGCAGAGGCAAGCAGATCTCTGTGAGTTCTTGTAGACCAGAGTGGTCTACAAGAGCAAGTTCCAGGACAGCCTCCAAAGTCACAGAGAAACCCTGTCTCAAAAACCAAAGGGAAAAAAAAAAAAGAGGAAGGAAGTAGAGTTGAGCTTTGGGTTCCTAGGGAATGATGTGTGTGTTGGGTGAGGACAGACTGAATCTTAAACACCTCTAGGCTGGAGCGCAAGTTTGGTGATGACTTCACTGTTCTATGAGATAATGGAGCTTAGGGCTGGGACCAAGTTGGAGGGGAGCAGAGAGGATAAAAGAGACCTAAGTTTGAGATAATGGTTTAGGAAACAATTACACAGTGATAATTAAAGCTTCTGCAGAAGAGTGTGTTCTCAAACAGCTCAGTGTAAGAAGTAGGGAACCCCACCTGTTTGTATGGGTAGATGGAAACAACTAACTACTGCAAGTGTCCTCAGTCCACACACACAGACAAATATATGTGATTCAAAAGAAAAAACAACTTAAAGATGTAAACTTATGTGCTCCGTGTGGTGACTTGTACCTGTTATCCCACCCAGACTTGAGAGACTGAGGCAGAATAAAGCTTGTTTCAAAATTCCAAAGTGAGTGAGTGTATGTCTGTGTATGCACATATAGTTAATGGCCAAACTAGCTGCCCTTTTGGAATTATAATTAAAAGGATGTTCAAAAGCAAGGGCTGCTACAAGCTAAATCTGACCTGCTGCTTATTTTTATACTGCCTGTATACAAAATGAGTTCTTTATATTATTCAGTTGTTTCAAAGAACAGCGTCCATGAGAATATAAAATTCCTGGCTCACCACCCCTGAATAAAGTCTTACTAAAGCCACAGTTTATGCCTACTTTCACTCTTCTATTACACACTTGAGTTGCTGAAGCTAAAGCCTTATGCCCAATGAAGGCTAAATATCTACTGTTTGACCCTTGCTCCACAGTATGGAGGACCCCAAAGGAAAATGAGGAAGAATTGAAGAGCTATCCAGAGTAAATTCAAAAGAACCGGTAGTCAGGAGCTGCAGGCATGGCGACAAGTGACCAGTGCCCTCTAGACTGGCAGTGAAGACACTGGTGACTGGAGGAGGAAGATGTTGAGTACAGAAGCCAGTGTGTGTGAGTGGAAAGTGAAGAAGTAGAGACAGTGGTGGAGGTCACTGAGAATTGTGGTGTGGGTTAGTCACCCACGAGTAGGTCTGCCTTTGAGATTTTAAATGGTTAACCAAAAATAGTATATTTTCTATACCTCTGTTTTTGTTTGTTTAGTTTTAATTTTGTTTTTGTTTTATTGGGGATTGAATCTAAAATCTCTTGCTCACCACAGAACTACATCCCTATCCCTTTTACAAACATTTCCAGATGAAATTTATGTATGTTTTTGGTCTCATTAAGATAAAGTGATGCTAGCTTGTATTGGTTCTGTGTACTTGTTGGGTCTGTTGTGCAAATATACAGTTCAGAAGCTTGCCATGTACAAACGTTTCTTAAAGAACTCATGGGAAAATGGCACCTTGCTGATGCTTTCAGAATGAGGACAAGTAGAAGCTGAAACTGCAAAAAAGAAAAAAATGTGTAAGTTAAGAGAATAGGAAGGGGAACAATTCAGTCAATAGAGTATGTAGTTTTTAAAGTATACGAGTAGAAATTAGAAAAATTGGACACAGTATTCTACAGTGTTTTATTTCCTGTGAGACAGAGACTATATTTATTTGAAGCATAGACTTTGGTTTGGTTGTTGTTTTGGTAGAATTGAACCAGAGTTGAGCTAGGCAGGCAGCCACATCAGCCCTAAAGCATAATTAGGCTTTCTCTGGCAAAGAAACTAAGACCTTGAGGCTTTTGAACCCCTACACCTATTTGGTTCAGTGACTAGAGTAGCTCATTTTTGAACTATTTATGCTTCAGCCTACAAATCATTGCTATTGAGAAGAGAGGCCTGACAGGCAACACATTCAGACTTGGTACTCTCTGATACCTGACACTCTCGAGGTACACTATTCTGATGTCTTAGCTTTGAACTTGGGGAATCAGTAAAAATGTTTCTGCTCCTGCCTAACAGTTCCTCCAGTAGATGTCAAGGGTTTTGCTTGACTTTAAAATGTTGCAGACTGAATTTATTTATTGTATGTGCATGTGTGGTCACAGGACAACTTGTAGGAGTCATCTCAATCATTCTAGCATGTGAGTTCCAGGTATTTTAAGCTTGGTTACAAGCACCCCTACCCACTAAGCCATCTTGCTGTCCCTCATTTGTTTAAAGTTCATAAAGAAGTATAATAAAGAAAATAATTAGCCAGGCAGTGGTGGCGATCGTCTTTAATCCCAGCATTTAGGATACAGAGGTAGGCAGGTCTCTGAGTTCGAGGCCAGACTGGTCTATAGAGCTAGTTCCAGGACAGCCAGGGCTGTTATACAAAGAAACCCTGTCTTGGAAAAGAGAAAGACACAGAGGGGGAGAGAGGAGAGGAAGGGGAAGGAGGATCTGGCCATGCCCTCCAGCACAGTTTGCTTTTCAAAATAAGACCTGGAATTTCAGTAACTGGGCTCCAGAGATAGCACCATGCCAGAGGAAAAGTAGTGGAGCTGTGTTCTCATTATCACATATGTCCTGTCTTTGATATGATTGGGAGAAAATGCCACATGGGAGTTGTACAAAGATTTTTGTACAATGTATAGCACTCACCAGGGTTTGGTAGAGTAGAGGTCCTAACCCATTTGTAGAATGGCAGTCTCACAAACTAGCTGGGAAGAATTCCCCTAACCTTCCAGAAACAAATACTTCATTTATCAGTTATCTGCCCATCACCTGCTGTAGGTTATGCAGTGGGCACTGTGTTAACATTAGATGGCTGGCTTACGTTTTTACTCTGCTCATCACGTTACAGCCACCTCCTTTTTACTGGGACGCCAGTACTATATTATAATTGGCTAGGAATAGGCATATGAGTTTCCTGGAACTTACTTCAGCCAACTATTCTTTTCTCCTGTCACTCACAGTATTCAGTAATGTTCAGGGGTGGCTAGTCTGGGCCCCTGTTTTCTGATGATGTATCTCTCTCCTCATAAAGGAGCCGACTAAACGGCAACATGCTGGCCCAGCATCAATTCAGCAGTCAAAGCAATACTGCTACCAGAGCCGGCTGGCAGGGGTTGGGCCTCAGATTATTTCTGTAGTACTGCCAACTGGGTAGATTTTCTTGCAGAAGTGGATGATCTTTTTTTCAGGAAAGTATTTAAAACTCTTGTTCAAGAATAAGTACTGATTTTATAAAAGAAATGTAGAGTTGTGGTCTTTTGTCAGGATAAAGACAGAAGGTGCAGCGCTAGGAACCTCTGTAAGCAGGGTTGAGGTAGGTAGGAGCCAGTAGGTCCAGCAGGGTGTAGTAATTTCATGGTTACTGTGCGCATTTCTATGCTGTTTGACATTTTATAGCAATGAAAATGCTAAAATGGATTTTCTAAAATAAAAGCTAAAAGATTTCTAATGTTTCTGTTATGTAAACTGTCCCTGATAAGCCTTTGCATCCAGGTGGCTGTAGGAACCAAAGTCAAGTGGAATTTTGTAATTCTCTAGGTCTGTAGTCCTCTGTAGGTGCCAACTCTGTATCTGTCTTACAGGGAGGAAAATGAAAGATGGTTTCTGTTCTTGAGGGACTTACGGCCAGTGAGAGAGAGGTCTATAAGTAGAGATTTCTCATGTAATTCACTGTGTTGCAGGAACATGGAAAAAGCATTCTCTACTTGCCTTCAGAACAGTTCACAGAGGTCTTCAAAGACATGGAGTGGTTGTCTATAAGTTAACTTAGAGCGTTGCTAACAAGCCTGACAACCTGAGTTCCAGCTCCGGGACCCACATGATCAAAAGACCCACCTCCCTCAAATTGTCCTTTGGCTTCCATGTGCTTACCATAGCATGTGTACACACAGAATAAGTAAATGTAAATAATAATTTTTTTTCCTTAAGAAATTGGAGGATAGCCTGGCATTGGTGGCACACATTTAATCCCAGCACTCGGGAGACAGAGGCAGGCGGATCTCTGTGAGTTCAAGACCAGCCTGGTCTACAGTGTGAGTTCCAGGAAAGGCTCCAAAACAGTACAGAGAAACCCTGTCTGGGAAAAAAAAAAAAAAAGAAAGAAAGAAAGAAAGAAGAAAGAAATTGGAGGATAAGAAGGTCCCTTGGGCTACTAAGGATTTGAACACAACCATTTCTACCTTCCAGGATTTGGTGAAGTTAGTGGTGATTATTTCATTCCCCACTTAATTGACCGAATGTGCTATTTTTGATTCTTTGTTACTGTCATCTGCTGCCACCACTCCTACCTTAATAAAGTGAATATCCTGGCAGGAATTTGTAAGGCTGTCCCTTGAGAACAGAACAAAAGATTTGTCTTACTAGAATGGTCTCATGTGAGCTTTCTTAAAAACAGACTTTAGAAAAATATACTTAATTTCAAAGACTTTCCTAACTCCTGTCTTTCAGTGCCCGAAGTGACGAAACCAAGTTTAAGCCAACCAACGGCCGCCAGCCCAATTGGCAGCTCTCCATCGCCACCAGTCAATGGTGGCAACAATGCCAAAAGGGTGGCAGTGCCGAACGGACAACCGCCAAGCGCCGCCCGCTACATGCCTCGGGAGGTGCCACCGCGATTCCGTTGCCAGCAGGACCACAAAGTGTTACTAAAACGTGGGCAGCCCCCTCCGCCGTCCTGCATGCTCCTCGGGGGTGGGGCAGGGCCTCCTCCCTGCACAGCACCTGGAGCAAACCCAAACAGCAACGCACAAGTGACAGGAACGCTGCTGCAGAACGAAAGTGGGACTGCACCAGGTAAGACTCTAGGGGCCAGCTTCAAAGGGAGAGAGAACATTTTCCTTGTTTATTTCCTGACAGCAATTCCACTAAAATCATTGCTAATATAGAGAGTACTGTGCAGAAGATGGGAGAGGATCCCAGCATAAAGTATGCACAAGCAGTTCTCCGAAGCTGTGTTATGGTGTCTTGACATGAAACGCTAATAATAGCATCCTTTACCTCCTAGGTTCTGTGGTTCATCAGCTGTGTTCAGGAAGTGAGACTTACATAGGGATTTTTCTAAATCTTCTAGAATCTTAAGTTTCCAGAATGATCACATAGTTGTATAGAATCTGGAGAGAACACCAGATAATACCATTCAGTAGTTTTTTAACTGGGTTTTTTTCTTCTTCTTCTTCTTCTTTTAAATCAGTGTTTAGTTTTATAGCCCTGGATTTTTATTTATTTATTTGTTGGTTTGTTTGTTTGGTTTGGTTTTTTGAGACAGGGTTTCTCTGTAGCTTTAGAGCCTTGTCCTGGAATTCACTCTGTAGAGCAGGCTGACCTTGAACTCACAGAGATCTTCTTCTTCTTCTTCTTTTAAATCAGTGTTTAGTTTTATAGCCCTGGATTTTTATTTATTTATTTGTTGGTTTGTTTGTTTGGTTTGGTTTTTTGAGACAGGGTTTCTCTGTAGCTTTAGAGCCTTGTCCTGGAATTCACTCTGTAGAGCAGGCTGACCTTGAACTCACAGAGATCCGTCTGCCTCTACCTCCCAAGTGCTGGGAGGCGTGTGCCACCACTGCCCAGCAGAACCCTGGATTTTGAGCTTTGTTAAGGCACTGTAATATAAACATGAGAGTTCTTTCTGTCTTTTGAAACAGGATCTCTTGATATAGCCCAGGTTGGTGTCAGACTCACAATCCTCCTGTCTCAGCTTCATGAAAGTGTGTGCCACCAAGAGTTTTTAATGAGTTACATAAATAAATAGCAAAGAGTTTCCATTCCCTTTAAAAAAATTAATGTGCCTTTTTATATTATATTAAATTTTAAATCTTGAACTAGACAGAGAGAGCTCAGCAGGTAAAGTGGTTGCCACCAAGCTCAGTGGCCTGAGTTCCATCTTCAGGCTCCATCCATGTAGTAGAAAGAACTGATTTCCAAAAGTTGGCTTCTCACCTCCATATGTGTGTCATAGCACACATACAAATAAATAAATAAAGATAATTCTACAAATACATTTTGAAGAAAAAAATAGACTTTGAATATCATTAAGCATCCAGTCTCAAGGTGTTAAGACTCTGTGCTTTCTCATATGTATATATTGATAGGGTTTCTCTAGCACTGGCTGTCCTGAAATTTGCTTTGTAGACCAACCCAGTCTCAAACTCAGAGATCCACCTGCTTCTGCCTCCTGAGTCCTGGGATCAAAGACATGTACCACCACCACCCGGCTAATTAATATATATATTAAGATTTTATTTGTTATGTAACATTGTTCTACGTGCATATTTGCCTACAGATCAGAAGAGAGCACCAGATCTCATTATGGATGGTTGTGAGTTACTATATGGTTGCTGGGAATTGAACTCATGAATTCCGGAAAAGTAGCCCGTGCTCTTAACCTCTGAGCCATCTCTCCAGCCCCCTATTTTATGTAATGTTATTTTTAACTCATATTAACTGAAAACTGCTTGGTTAATGGAGAAATTAGTTTAGAAAAAAAATCACTAAAAACATTATTAGCCCACCACCACCACCACTAAGAATGGTACATTCTACTGAAATATGTACTGAACCGTACTGATTTATCAGATTAATCTCTTTAGGAGTTTGTACCAATATGATCCATACTCCTGTATTTTGGCAGCTAACTCGGGGACAGTCATTCAGCAGAGGCTTATAGAGCAGAATGCACAGGCAGGCCATTGTGTGGAATTCACATGTTAGCAAGATAGGCTCTAATGAAAAGATCAGTGTGAGAAAGGAAGGATGTGAACAGAGGGTTACCATACTGAGGAGAATGGATCTTGTTGGAGAAAAATGATTTTTCAGGTGACAAGCCCAGAAGTGGATCCATAGATGAAGTGACACTTGAAATATGTCCATAAAGATGAATAAATCTCATTGGATTTGGGAGGAAAAAACAGTAGATCCAAGCCTAGAGTGGTGCCAAGGGTCAAAAGGTGTGTTTATGGACTGTAGGCATCTTTGTGGAAAATTGTATAGGATGCACCGGGAAGACTGGTTGGCATTAGAACATCTTGGTAAAGCCAACCTAGGGGTTTTGCTTTTCTGTGTATTAAGGAATTCTTGAAAACTCTCAGAACAATGATAGAACCAAAAGGGTATTTTAGGAAAACCACTCTAGCCACAAGTGTTAGACTAGCTTGAAGAAATGTAGCACGTTTAAAGTCTATTGCATTTTCTCAGGATACAAGAAGGTCCTTCTGTGTCAGCAGGAGTGGCAAGTAGGTAACTTTGAAAGCTGGTCTGGAGCCAGGCAGTGATGGCACAAGTCTTTAATCCCAGCACTCGGGAGGCAGTAGCTCCCACCTCTGTAAATTCCAGGCCAGCCTAGTCTACAGAGCTAGTTTCAGAACAGTTAGGGCTGTTACACAAAGAAACCCTGTCCCGAAAAACAAAAAAGAAAGAAAGCTGGTATGGACTTAGTACATACAACAGTAGCCAATGACAAAGGAAACTCCAGCATGTTCTCATAACTCAGCATATAATGACCCGATGACCTGAGTTCAGTCCCTAGGACCCCCATGGTATAAGGAGAAAACCAACCCCAGCTAATTGTCCTCTGATCTCCAAATTGGTACCATGGCATGCTCACATATTATGCCCACTCGAACACACACATACATACATACACACACACACACACAGAGAGAGAGAGAGAGAGAGAGAGAGAGAGAGAGAGAGAGAGGTGACCCTAGGCACTGAGTTAAAATCCCACAGGAAGCCGGGCGTTGGTGGTGCACGCCTTTAATCCCAGCACTCGGGAGGCAGAGGCAGGTGGATCTCTGTGAGTTCGAGACCAGCCTGGTCTACAAGAGCTAGTTTCAGGACAGCCTCCAAAGCCACAGAGAAACCCTGTCTCTAAAAAAAAAACCAAAAAAAAAAAAAAAAAAAAAAAAAAAAAAAAAAAATCCCACAGGAAGATGGACCAGGTAGATCCGCTGGGGCAGTCAGAACTCCAGGTATAGATGACAATGTATGTGCAGCTATGGCTAACAGATGATCTCTTTTCCAGAGTCAACCCTTGGAGGTGCTGCTGCTTCAAATTATGCAAATTCCACTTGGGGCCCGGGAGCCTCCTCCAACAACGGCGCCTCCCCCAACCCAATTCACATCTGGGACAAGGTGATTGTAGACGGGTCTGACATGGAAGAGTGGCCTTGCATTGCCAGCAAAGACACTGAATCTTCTTCCGAAAACACCACCGATAACAACAGTGCCTCGAACCCTGGCTCTGAGAAGAGCACTCTGCCAGGAAGCACCACTAGCAACAAAGGAAAAGGGAGCCAGTGCCAGTCTGCAAATTCCGGGAACGAATGTAATCTTGGGGTCTGGAAGTCTGACCCTAAGGCTAAATCTGTTCAATCTTCCAACTCTACTTCAGACAGCAGCAGTGGACTAGGAAATTGGAGGAATGTGAGTGGTCAAGATAGAATTGGACCTGGCTCTGGCTTCAGCAACTTTAACCCAAATAGCAACCCATCTGCCTGGCCAGCATTGGTCCAAGAAGGAACTTCTAGGAAAGGGGTGTTGGAAACAGAGAATAGTAATTCCGGTGCACAAGTAAGCACAGTAGGTCAGGCATCCAGGGAACAGCAGTCAAAAATGGAAAATGCGGGTGTTAATTTTGTTGTCTCTGGCAGAGAACAGGCTCAAATTCATAACACTGATGGACCAAAAAATGGAAACACTAACTCCTTGAACTTAAGTTCACCAAACCCCATGGAAAATAAGGGAATACCCTTTGGGATGGGCTTGGGGAACACCTCCAGGAGCACTGATGCCCCTTCACAAAGCACTGGAGATCGAAAGACTGGGAGTGTTGGGTCTTGGGGTGCAGCTCGGGGGCCTTCTGGAACTGACACAGTCTCTGGACAAAGCAATTCTGGAAATAATGGGAACAATGGAAAAGACAGAGAAGACTCCTGGAAAGGAGCTCCTGTTCCAAAATCAACTGGGTCAAAAAATGACTCTTGGGACAACAATAACAGGTCTACGGGTGGGTCCTGGAACTTTGGCCCTCAGGATTCTAATGACAACAAATGGGGTGAAGGGAACAAAATGACATCTGGGGTCTCTCAGGGAGAATGGAAACAGCCGACTGGGTCTGATGAGTTGAAAATTGGAGAATGGAGTGGTCCAAACCAACCAAATTCTAGCACTGGAGCATGGGACAATCAAAAGGGCCACCCCCTCCCTGAAAACCAAGGCAATGCCCAGGCTCCCTGTTGGGGAAGGTCTTCCAGCTCCGCAGGAAGTGAAGTTGGAGGTCAAAGCACTGGAAGCAACCACAAAGCAGGAAGTAGTGACAGTCATAATTCTGGCCGTCGGTCATACAGGCCCACACATCCTGATTGCCAGGCTGTCTTGCAGACTCTTTTGAGCCGAACTGATTTGGACCCCAGGGTGCTCTCAAACACTGGCTGGGGCCAAACTCAAATTAAGCAGGACACAGTGTGGGATATTGAAGAGGTGCCAAGGCCTGAGGGGAAATCTGACAAAGGAACTGAGGGGTGGGAGAGCGCTGCCACACAGACCAAGAACTCAGGGGGCTGGGGAGATGCACCTAGCCAAAGCAATCAAATGAAGTCTGGATGGGGGGAGCTCTCAGCCTCGACAGAGTGGAAGGACCCCAAGAGCACAGGAGGCTGGAATGACTATAAGAACAACAACTCTTCTAACTGGGGAGGACGAGCAGATGAAAAGACACCTTCCTCTTGGAATGAGAGTTCCTGCAAGGATCAGGGGTGGGGAGGTGGGCGCCAGCCCAACCAAGGATGGACTTCTGGGAAGAATGGTTGGGGTGAGGAGGTTGAGCAAGTAAAAAATAACAATTGGGAAAGTTCTGCAAATAAGCCTGTGTCTGGGTGGGGTGAAGGAGGGCAGAATGAAATTGGAACTTGGGGTAATGGTGGGAATGCAAACCTAGCTTCAAAAGGTGGGTGGGAAGATTGCAAAAGATCTCCTGCATGGAATGAGACAGGCAGACAGCCCAATTCCTGGAATAAACAACACCAACAGCAGCAACAGCCACCACCACCACCACAGCCCGAGGCTTCTGGTTCATGGGGAGGCCCACCCCCTCCACCTCCAGGCAATGTTCGACCTTCTAATTCCAACTGGAGCAGTGGGCCCCAGCCTACAACCCCTAAGGATGATGAACCCAGTGGTTGGGAGGAGCCATCCCCACAGTCAATTAGTAGAAAAATGGACATCGATGATGGCACTTCAGCTTGGGGAGACCCTAACAGTTATAACTACAAGAATGTGAATCTATGGGATAAAAATTCCCAAGGGGGCCCACCGCCTCGAGAACCAAACCTGCCTACCCCAATGGCCGGAAAATCAGCATCAGGTAGGCACCCACCCACTCTTTTTTCATAGGCTTTAGTAAAAGAAATCCTGGGCTGGAGAGATGGCTCAGAGGTTAAGAGCACTGACTGTTCTTCCAGAGGTCCTGAGTTCAATTCCCAGCAACTATATGGTGGCTCACAACCATCCGTTATGAGATCTGGTGGCCTCTTCTCGCATACGTGTAGGCAGAACATTGTATGCAGAACATTTACTTACTATGTAGTAAGTAAAAATAAATCTTTAAAAAGAAAGAAAAGAAATCCTATCTGAGGATAGTTCCTCCAGTTCTAGCTTTGTTGCTCTGATAACCTCTTTCCATAGAGCACTAGAGATGGCATCTGCTCTAGTACATTACAGTGGTCATTCTTGTTACAAGGAAAAGATGACAATACTCTTGGTCCCTAGAGTAATTATTATTATTAATGGTTTGTCCAAGACAGGGTTTCTCTGTGTAGCTTGGCTGATTTGGAACTAACTCTATAGACCAAGCTGGCAGATCTCCCTGCATCTGCCTCCCAAGTGCTGAAATTAAAGTCTTGCACCTGGCTAGGTTCCCAGAATTATTTTTTTGCAATTGTATTGGTCTGTATAATTTTAAAAAAGCAACCACCATACAGCTTATTCTTGCCAAACAAACTACTACTAGTTTAAGAACTAAAGAAGAAAGAGATCTACTTTCTTTCCCTCCTGGCTCTACCTGTGAACCCACCCTCTGTGCTTTTCCCCCAGCAAAGGAGAACACTCTGGTGTTTTTTCAGAAGCCATCACAATGCTGTATCACAGCTGGTGTCTGGACAGTTGGACAGTTGGGGGGTCTCCAAATTTATTGATGCTCTCTGTGTTTTGGTGCTCAAACACAGAGACTTGTGTATGCTGAGTAAGCATTCTGTATTTCCAGTTCCATCCAGTGACTGAATGGTTGGCTGTAGAAAGGAATATACTTAAAAGATGATCTTAGGACAGTCAGATATTAAACTGTTCCAACAGCTCTTAATTCTATTCTCAGGTTGGCTCGAATGTCCCTGTAAAAACTCACCAATCGGGGCTGGAGAGATGGCTCAGAGGTTAAGAGCACTGGCTGCTCTTCCAAAGGACCTGAGTTCAATTCCCAGCAACCACATGGTGGCTCACAACCATCTATGACAAGATCTGGTGCCCTCTTCTGGTGTGCAGACATACATGCAGACAGAACACTGTATATATAATAAATAAATAAAGATCTATTTAAAAAAAAAAAAAAACTCACCAATTTAGAAAATGCACCTTTCAGGGTTGTTTTATGGTTTTAGTTAAAATTAATCATAATGTGAAGTTTCCCAGTATTCAAAGTGAATCTAGTTTTTAAGTAAATGTAATTAGGAACACTAATTATCATGCAAAGTGACTGTTTTTAACTAGCTCCTTTAAAAAAAAAAAACTAAAAAAAAAATGAGGACAGAAATAGAGACTACTCTTTAACTTCTTATCTAGAATCACACTTGCTAATGCTTTGAAATAAAACTCTTCAAACTGCACAGAAAAGCGAAATACAATAAATGAGAGAATCTTAGCCTCTTGGGTTTCTCACCATAATCTCTTAGAATTTGTTTCATTCATAAATCTTGCTCTTATCTATTACAAATATACCTAAGCTTTATTTATTTATTTATTTTTATGGGGGGGTTATATTTCTTTAGTGTTCATCTTGCTTTTTTTTTGTGGACTTTTTGGGGTAAAGACAGGAATTCTGAGACTGGATCCCAGGACCTTTCCCTGGGTAGGCAGGCAGTATCCCTTATTTATGTCCTATGTTTAAGCTTTTTGTAGCACACAATAGTTCTTTCTCTTAATTGTTTCATATATAATGTTCATTTTATGGGCCCAATATTTATCCCTCTGGTAGATACTTAAGTTGCACTTTACCCACACTTGATGTAACCTATCTTCTAATATTTAAAATGCTTCAATTTTTGTACATATAATTTCATCACTTTACTACATATATCTAAAGTAAAATTTCCTGGCAGTGGAATTTCAGAAGTCATGTACATTAGACCTTTGAAAAGTCACCTTGCCAGATGCCCTCCATGAAGGTTGAATTTGTTTCTGCCAAGATAGTATAATTGTGTCTTTCCCCTTTAATTCCACTGGATGTTAAGTGTTCAATGGATCCTTAGAGACATGCTTTTCTTTCTTTCTTTCTTTTTTTTTTTCCCAGTCTGGAGCAAAAGCACACCACCTGCTCCAGATAATGGAACTTCAGCCTGGGGTGAGCCAAATGAAAGCAGTCCTGGGTGGGGTGAAATGGATGATTCTGGAGCATCGACCACAGGCTGGGGAAACACACCTGCCAGCGCTCCCAATGCCATGAAACCCAGTAAGTGGATTTGGTTTATAATTTGAGGAATTCCTTGTTAATTAGAAAATAAGGTGTTTTGGTGAGGGCTGTTTTATTTAAAGTGTTAAGTCAATGCAATTCATAACCTGAAACATCAAACAGCAGCAAATGGTACTGAATATTGCTGGCATGTGTTCAGGTGTTTACCGTGACCTAAGTTATTTATATTGCTGATTTAAAAACAAATGAATGGCCAAGCACTAGGAAGGCTGAAGCCCACAGGTTGGTTTCTGTGAGTTCAAGGCCAGCCTGGTGTATGTAGTGAAATCCAAAACAGCCAGGGCTCATGGTGAGACCCTGTCTGAAAAAACAAAATAAAATAGAATATAACAAAATAAAAACAAATGCAGGCTCCTCAAGCACTTGTCCTCACATGTTACTGAGTTTGTTCCCTAAACCCACATTGTAGAAGAGACCAACTTGAGTAAGTTGTTCTTTGACAACATCCTTGCACATGACCCACAAACAATAAATGAAAGGAAAAAGAAACAAACTAGATTTAGTATCTATCCAGAACTGTAATTTGAATATTGTGCATTTTTACCCAAAAATGTAAATGTGTTCATTGAAACTACTTTATTTCTCCTTTTTTTTTTTCATATAATTAAGACATGATTTCTCAGTCATCTACTCACATAAGATTTTAGGTGTGTTGGGGGTTGTTTGGTTGGTTGGTTTTTGCTTTTTTTGGTTTTGTGGGATTTTTTGTTTGTTTGTTTTTGTCTGACAAAGATGTCTTTGAAGTTCTTAAATGAAGAATAAGCTACATTTGATGTAACTGGCCATTTGTAGTCGCTAATGCACAAACTATTACTTGATTGAATTGAGAATATAGTATCAGGCGCACATTTCTACTTCACTAACTTTCTTGAACATGTTACATCTCTCTTTCCTGCTTAAGCAGACTTAAGATTTAAGAGTTTTTGGTTAGGCCAGACGGTGGTGGCACACACCTTTAACCCCAGAACTTGGGAGCAGTGGCAGGCTTATCTCTGTGAGTTTGAGACCAGCCTGGTCTACAAAGTGAGTTCCAGGACAGCCAGGACTGTTACACAGAGAGACCAAATTAATTAATTAATTATTTTATGGAATTCTCAAAACTTTAGATAAGAAAAAGAATTACTTGTATCCCATGATATTCAGGACTTTGTGAGGAATATGTTAGATTTAATCCAGAATTCACAACCATGCCTATGGGGCTTTGTTATATTTTAAAAGTCTTCATCCACTCCTCCACTTCATAGACTTCTGGAGTTTTCTGAACACCTTGTTCTCATGATTTCCATGGTGAAGTCAGTTGTTTATCCTGGGAAATAGGATCTAGTTGACTTGAAATAGATCCAGATTGCTAAAGAGGCCTCACACAGATTGTTCAGCAGGACTGTAGAATTTTCACCCGTCTTTCTCAGCTTCAGAGTCACCTTTCCACCACAAATCCATCATTTCCCTCCTGTGCTTTGTAAATGTGTTTTGTTAGTCAAGGTCATTTGTAGTTGTAGCTTGTGTCCTTTCTCTGGGTGATTTGAATGTCTAATGCTAAGAGGAAGGAATAAATCATTTAGCTGATAACTGGCAATGTGATCTTCCACAGCCAAAAATGCCTTACATTTGATATTAAGTCCTGTGATTAAAATCAGATGCTCAGTCAGACATGTAGTGGCTCATATCTCTAATCCCAGAACTGAGCAGAAGTCGGCCTTGTCTACAGAGTGAGTTCCGGGACAGCCAGGGATACACAGAGAAACCCTCAACAAAACCAAATGCTTTTCTGTTGAGTATTCAGGGCCCAGTGCTAGGCAAATGCATAGCCCTGAGCTTGTAGCCTCAGACCCACTCTTGAGAAAGGAGGCAGGAGGGAGGAATGTGAAGAAAGAGAGGAGGTTAGTTGGAAGTCAGAGGACATTTTTTTGGAGTTGATTCTCCTTTTTTTTTTTTTTTTTTTTTTAAACAACAGATTCCAGGGAAGCACCTTTAACTACAAGGCTGTCTTACTGCCCCCCCACCTTAAATTTTTGGTTTTTGGGTCAAGGTCTCGATATGTAGTTCAGCCTGGCCTGGAACTCAGAGCTCCCAGGTGTTGGGATTAAAGGTATGGTGTCACCATGCCTTGCCTGCCAGTCCCTTTTTTATGGGAAACGTTTGTTAAAAGTTCAGCTCTTCTCTGAAAGAAAGTAATCATCACTTAGCTACACATTTCTTTTAACTTTTATTATTACTTGTTTTATGTGCACAGGTATTTTCCCTGCTTGGATGTCTGTGCACCACATACATACAGTACCCTCAGAGGCATTGGACTCCCTGGGACTGGAGACAGGTGTGAGCTGCCATGTGGGTGCTGGGAACTGAACTTGGGTCATCTGAAATAGCGATCAGTGCCATCTCTCCCAACTCATTTTTATAAAGAGATCAGTATGATATATATACTTGGTTTTAAATTCCTATTGCTTGTCAGTACAGTAGGTGATATAAATCCTATGCTTATAGAATATACATATAATGCAGGTTATATAAAATTGTAATCCCTTGTACCATCTGTCTGTTAATACTTTGAGTAACAGTCCTGCCTATTGCTTTTCTGCAGAAAGTCCCTTTGTGTGGCTAGGATGAACTCTGTGGGAGAGTCGTGGCATTTACTTATACCTGCTATAGCGTGGAGTGCTACAGTTCGAAGAGCAAGCCCTGTGCTTTGCAAGTGGGAACTCATTTGGCTCTCACAGGCCTGGTCTCAAGGATAGCAGCTGTCACTGGAAATAGTACAGAGAAGAGCCATTTCCCAGCTCCCCACTCCAGTTCTGTACAATAGTTTTGAAGGAAAATGAATGTTTACTTACAAGCTTCATATTAACAATATTTGTTTAAAGGGTATGTTAGTAGAACAGACTGTCCAGTATCCACCCCCAGCTGTCCCATCTTTCTTTTCTTCCCCCATTCTGTCTTCTATATTTTCTCCTTTCTCACTGAAGCCACATCTAGTATTCTCCTTAGCTGATGCATTTCAAATATGTCTATGGACCTAATAAGCTTCAACTTTCCATGGCCTTGTGTTTTTTTATTCCCATTCTTATTTTAACCTCATCCCAAACAAGGTAGACAGCTGGTTTTTTTGGCTATACCTATTTGGTAGTATAAAACAAAGACTTCACGGGGCTGGAGAGATGGCTCAGCAGTTAAGAGCACTGGCTGCTCTTCCAGAGGACCTGGGTTCAATTCCCACCACCTACATGGCAGCTCACACCTGTCTAAAACTCCAGTTCCAGGGGATGCCTTCACACCAATGCACATAAAATAAAGTTAAATTATTTAAAAAAACAAACAAACAAACAAAGACTTCACTTCAGCAGCCATGCTCATTAAGAGAAATCAGTTTCTTCTCAATGAAATGTGAAATGTATATTCACTCTCCCACACATACATACTTTTTGCTGATAGTGTGGGACAGTGTGGGATTGTTTGGGATAGTATCTGAGGTAGTCCATGGAGGCCTCAAACTCCTCCTGCCTCAGCTTCCCAAGTGGTAGGATTGCAAGTATACACCACCACCCAGTTCTGAAATTTCTTATAATAGTGATGAGTTCTTTTTAGTTTTGAAATTGCTATCTGCGGGGCTGGAGAGATGGCTCAAAGGTCTTTCTTCCAGAGGTCTGAGTTCAATTCCCAGCAACCACATGGTGGCTCACAAACCATCTGTAATAAGATTTGGTGCTCTCTTCTGACATGCAGGCAGAACACTATATAAATAATAAATAAATAAACCAATCTTTTAAAAAGAAAATTTGCTATCTACTTGGTTCAGAGAAGAACCATAGAAGCAGTCAAAAGAGCTTGATTGTATGGTCTGTTGTCTACTCTCTTTAAGTATAATTCATTTGCCTTACCATGTAGCTAGAATAGACAGAACTGCAAAGATATTAAAATGCTGCATTTGGAAGGAGCGTCTCTAGTTTTGTTACATGTACTTACTGCAAAGAACTGATAGACTCTTTCCTTAAAGATACCAAATCTATGCAAGACGGCTGGGGGGAGAGTGACGGACCGGTCACAGGAACTCGCCATCCTAGCTGGGAAGAAGAGGATGATGGAGGAGTCTGGAACACCGCCGGCTCTCAGGGAAGCACTTCCTCCCACAACTCAGCCAGCTGGGGACAAGGAGGAAAGAAACAAATGAAGGTAGTGCTTCAGAAATGCTCTGACTTGCTTATTTGTTCCTAGAAGGCAGAACTGAGAATGTGCACATGTAAGGAATGAGGCAGCTGGCTGGAGTCACTGAGATTCTAAGTCAAGGGAAAAGGGTTTTTTTTGTTTTTTGTTTTGTTTTGGTTTTTCAACACAGGGTTTCTCTGTATTGCTTTGGAGCCTATCCTGGAATTCGCTCTGTAGAGCAGGCTGGCCTCGAACTCAGAGATCCACTTGCCTCTGCTTCCCGAATGTTGGGATTAAAGACATGTACCACCACTGCCTGGCAGTATTTTCTTAAAAATTAGTAACTACTTCCCTTGTTTTCCTTCATCTTCCTATCCCATGACCTTGAAATCTTGAATTATAGAAGTGTCACTGTGGTTAAAATATAATTGGTAACATGGAGGTAGTTAAGTTTTGGGTTCCATGTTATAATTTAAGTTTCTGAGGCCTGCTTTTAAAATTCCTTATGCTTTTGCATTTGAAAACAAAGAAGTCCTATGGATGTAAATTGTTGTGAAAATGTAGAAAAGAAACCAAAGGAAGATAATACTGGCTTTCCAGTGGTGATGGGTCTTGATTTTACCTGATTCACCCCAAGGCCCAGAGTCCTTCTTCCAGTAAAATGAAAGCCAGCCCAGTTTTTAGCACTGCCATAACTAAATGCTGTCCTCACATCCTGTGCCAAGCTGTGCCTTCCATATATCCCCCTTTCCCTATAACAACCAAGTTTCCTTTTGGATTATCATTTTATTACTTACCTTACAGTCCTGGGGATGGAGCTCAGAGCCCTGTGAATGCTAGACAAGCACTCCACTATTGCTTTTGCATAGGGCCCTGGTATTTCATCTATAGCCATGATCTTTGCACCTCAACAACTTTCTTGGCAGATGATTCTTTTCACTCTTGCTTTCTCTTTTACACACACACACACACACACACACACAGAGAGAGAGAGAGAGAGAGAGAGAGAGAGAGAGAGAGAGAGAGAGAGAGGGGGAGAGAGAGAGAGAGAGAGAGAGGAGGAGAGAGAGGGGGGGCTCGGAGAATAAGGAACACACACCCTATGTCTAATTTCACCCTGAAACCCCTGCTCACCTGTGAAATGCTTCCTAGCCAATATTTTCCTGGGCTTCAGATCCCCCATACTGTCTAATGAGACTTTCAGGACGTCTTCACCCCTTGGCTGGAAGCTGTGAGTTTCAGTACCCTGACTTTTCTTCTGTAGCATGGAGCAGTTGGTTTCTCTTAGAGACATTGGTTGAAGCAGTTCTTCATAGGCTCTCTTTCCCTAAGGGCTTGACTTTCCTTACTTTAGTCACTAAAAAAATTGCACTGTGCTGCTCAGCATCTTGGTACTTTCGTGTTGTCTGCTCTGTTTTAGCAGTCTTAGTCATCTACAAATTAGCAGTGGATCCAGAAAGATCCTAATTGAAGCCTCCTACTTAATTGGGAGTTGAATGTTTCTACTCTGATGCCAGTGATTCTGACCTTCAGTACTAAGGACTGTTTTTTGTTTTTTTAATGTGATAAAATACACATGATGTAAAAATTGTCATCTTAACCATTTTTAAATGTGGAGTTCAGTGGCATTAAGTATGTTCACACACAGTTGTGTTCCTCTTAAAGCTGAAAGATTGTGCTAGTAGACTCACTATCTCTGCTTCCTTCAGGACTTTTTTTTATATCTTAAGTAAATATAAGTATCCCATTACTTCAAAAAAAAAAAATATGTGTCTTGAGCCAAGTGTGGTGGCACACAACCTTAATCCTTGAAGTCCTTGAAGACAGAGGCTGGAGGATCGGGAGTTCAAGGTTATCCTAGGTTATATAGTGAGTTTGAGGGCATCCTGTCTCAAAAACAACAACAATAATAACAATTATGATGTATCATACGTAGCACATGGAGTTTTTATCTATAGGATGCACAGGTGCACAAAGCCCAACCCCATCCCACAAATCCCTGCCTTCACAGGAGTGAGAATGGAGCAGATGGAGAAACCAGAGCATCCTAAGAGTCATAGACCTACCCTACTCTCTTGTTCCTGGAGGGCAAGTATAGTGTCTTCGTCCAGGACTCTTTCCCACTGAGAATGAGAACCAGTAACCTTATGTGAACCAGATGAAGAGCTTCCCTGGATGTGTTCTACTTTGCCCCCACAGAGGGTGATATCCAATTCAAATAGGCTCCTTCCTAAGCAGCACTTACCAGTAGCAGTTCTTTCCCTAATAGAATCCTGCTGGGGTCGCAGGAGAGCATCTTACTGGAGGTGACCGTGGTAGCATGCACAAGTTAACATTTACACAATCTGTTACTGACTTCTTTCCATGTAAAAAGTAGAACCTCATTTTCCAGTTCACTGTGATGAGTAGGAGTAGAAGCATGACTGAACCTAGGGCTTATTAACCATTAAAGTAAAAGGGAAAGTGTCAAAATGACAAGCTGTTAGGTTCAGAAAAGTTAATTCTCAGCTCTGCATTGTCAGTGTAGTTTGTAGCTTGGGGGACTGTGATAAGCTCTGTGACTGAGATGACACATTTCATTTCTGCAGTGCTCACTAAAAGGAGGAAATAATGATTCATGGATGAATCCTCTTGCCAAACAGTTTTCAAATATGGGATTGCTGGTAAGTTTTATTTTTCTCATGTGTAAACATCCCAAATTTCAGGCTTAGTACAAACTTAAGGACCACTGCCATGTGCAGTACAAAATTACAGATTTAAATACAAGTTAGCCCTTAGAGCTAAGCAATATTATTTTCTATTTTATTAAGTGATATATATCGACATTAAAAGTAAATTGTCTTTGTTGGAAAGGTGGAGACAAAAAAGACACTTAGATTGACATTTGTACCAGTGTTTTCATCATTGTTTTAAAAAAGAAAACTATAAAACTATGGTAGGATTCATTATCTAGAGAATAATTCATGCAGAATCTCTAATTTCCTTATCTCTTGGGAATGCTGTTGGGACGTCCTGTCCTGGTTGCCAAAAGACAAATGATTCAGTTTGGTTACACAGTTCAAGATTTGATGCCTTGACAAGTCACCAGAAGAAGTTGTCATCATTTGGCTACCATTTGTGGAATTTGATCCTGCACACTTAAGAATGAGTTTATTTCTCTAAGCAGCTGTTGAACTAGTCCTCTGTCCATAACTGTACTGAGGTTGATTACATGTGGAATTGAATGTTAGACATTTAATTAAGCATGGATGGCCATCAGTTTACAGTTCACCACAGAGGGTCTTGTGGGGTACTTCTGGTAAGATGTGGCTTTCACATGAAAAATGGCACCTTTTCTCTAATTGAAAATGTGTATAATTGTTTCTCACTTGTGTTTGCTTTGTTTTGTTCAGAGTCAAACAGAAGATAACCCAAGCAGCAAAATGGATTTGTCTGTAGGTATGTATCAGTCCACAAATAGAACTGGGGTGTATTCATGGCCATGACAGGCCCTTGGGATCTCCTACGCAGCTTGAGTTGAGGCGATCAGATCAATAGATATTTGATTAATGCTTTTCTCTGTATAAGATTTCATGCAAGACCCAGTATAGAGGTTGAAAATTCAAATGACCAAAGAGCCAGGAAAGAATGTAAAGGAATGTTGTGTGCCAGGTGAACTGGTTAACTGTGAAGAAGGAGTTTGCCTCAAAAGCCAGCCTTGCTCTACTGGAGATAGTTTTTGCATGAAAAATACAAGCTTGATTGGACCATGCCTTACTAGCATCAAGATTTTTTTCACTCTGTTTTTGTTTTGTTTGTTTTATTTTTTCTGAGACAAGGTTTCTCTGTGTATCCCTGGTTGTCCTAGACCAGACTGGCCTCAAACTCAAGAGATCCACTTGGCTCTGCTTCCCAGGTGCTGGGACTAAAGACATGCGCTACCAACACCTGGATCAGATTTTTTTTTTTTCTTTTAAGTACTGGAGGCTAAATTCAGGTTTTTTAAAAATTATCTGTGATACTGCTAGACTAGATAGACCCTTAAGTTGACACTCTGTACCCCAGGGTAGTTCTTCACTGACATACTTCTCCATTGTGACTAGGGCAAAGGGAGGGACAGCCCTTTATCTGTGGGAATTTTCCCAGTAATGCTTCCACTCACCCTAGGGAGCATAAAAAGAATCAAACTAAGAGTGAGAGCAAACAGTCCTGGGTAGCAGTGGCAAATAGTGTTTGACCTGTAACACAATGATGTTATCATTCAGCAGAATTATATCTGAGAAAGAGGGAAGGAAACGGTCATTGAACATACAGTCCTGGCTGAGCAAGCACTGTTGACATGATCAACTGTGCTAAATTCTTAAGCTTTGAATTTTAGGGCAACAGGTGTGCCTCTTGGTGTTTGTATTCCCCTTAAGTGCTTTAAAACTCCAACTGTGTATCTAACTGGTGCTAATAAGGAAAACAAGTAACTTCTCTCACTGAGAACATTTGAGTAAGATGTATACATCCAACACATCAATTGTGATCTATATATTGTTTAGTCAGTTTTGCCTCAAGGCTCTCCTCAGTCTTCCACGGTAGATAGTCTGTAGCAGGTGTGTATTTAATTTCTAAAAGTTGGACCATATGTACTCCAGGGACAGAACAAGCCCTGAACCAGTGAGAACTCTGCTGGTGTCATTCAAAGAGTAGAGAGAATTTGTTCCTAGGACCTCAGAGAGCAGGTGGGCCAGGTCACATGTGGCTCTTGAGGGAGATGTTAATTTTTTTTCTTTTTTTGAGACATTGACTCTTAAAGTTTTTATTTATGTACTTTAAGATAAGAAATTTGATGTGGACAAGCGAACAATGAATCTCGGGGATTTTAATGATATCATGAGGAAGGATCGACCTGGGTTCCGTCCACCTAATTCCAAAGACTTGGGAACCGCAGATAGTGGGCCTTACTTTGAGAAGGTGAGTTGCATGCTTTATTTAAGTTATGTGTTCTTACTTGTCTTCTGATAGCCAGTTCTAGAGAAAGCATAAACTTAACTGAATTCAGCAAGTAGAACATAAATGTCACCAGCATTAATGTAGCAACATGAAAATAGCTGATGTCAGTGAGCGAGAGCCATCTGTCCTTACTGATTTTGTGATGGAACTCTGAGTTTTGAGATATTCATGGAGTTTGGGAGAGGTCATGGGCACTGAGAGACAAGCTTACTCTGCACTCTTGATCCTGCTGCTGTGCCAGCAACAGACAAAATCTGGGCTTTGTGCAAAATATGTATCTCCTACGAGCTTGAGTTGGTCTAGAAAAGCTCTCCATCTTTCCCACTTCCCTATTAGCTTGTGTTTAGGTAAATGGTTTATTTTTCAAATTCTTATTGAAGCAAGTAAGTTTTACTCACTTGTTCTGATTTTTAACATTTCTAATGAAATTGTTCCTTGATTCAGAATACTGTTTCATAATGCTCCTAATTCCCCATAAGACATTAAAATTAAAACATGGAGATCTGGGCCCATAGCATTGTTGCCAGTCTGGTGACACCATATTCACAGGAAGATTGACTGGCTTCTGCTTCAGTAGCCATACTACCAGAGTAGTAAGTATTAGACTTGTAAAAATAAAGTGTCTGGCAACCCTTGTCCTTTGCAGTGGGCTGACAGGGTTACTAACTTAGAGGAAGAGGAAGTCTCTGTGAAGTAGGATGACAGATATATTGGGCAAAGTGTGACGATTATTATCAGATCCAAATTTCATCCTGGGTTATTGCTAATCCACTCTGTTTATTTCTAGTGTGTCTCTCTTTCCCTTCTTACATTCTGTTGCTTCACTAACCAACACTCATTGTGATTGGCTAACTCCTACTACCTTTCAGCTGACTTTGCCTTTCTCCAATCAAGATGGGTGCCTTGGGGATGAGGCTCCCTGCTCTCCCTTCTCCCCTTCTCCCAGCTACAAGCTGTCTCCCTCTGGTTCCACACTACCCAACGTCAGCCTTGGAGCAATCGGCACAGGGCTCAACCCCCAAAACTTCGCTGCTAGACAAGTAAGGAGGCCTCTCAGATTTGTAATTGCTTGGCTGTGGCCTCACCTTGGCCCTGGTCTTCAGTTTATTGCATCATTTGTCTGTCTTGGGAAACTTGTTGATTACTGAATGCACAGAATGATACTAAGTGTAGGTTTTACATCTTTTAGCCCATAGAACCCATCTTTCTTCATGTTTCTCAACATGGATTTTACTTTAAATCTGTTTCTTTTATCTCTTATTTTTGGTTATAACTAATTTAGGGAAATCTGATTGAGACTCTATAGGTACCTTATATAATCTAGTAATATATTTGCCACTTTTTAATATAGATTATATGTTTGGCTGGAGAGGTGGCACAGCAGTTGCTGTTCTTGTAGAGGATCTGGGTTTTGTTCCCAGCACCCATATGGCAGCTCACAGCCTCCTATAATTCCTGTTTCAGGGGATCAGACACCCTCTTCTAGCTTTTGCACTCACCAGGCATACACATGATGCACAGACATACATGCAGGCAAAATACTCATACATAAAATAAAAATAAATATTTTCAAAAGCTATTAGAATATATGATAAATAGTATTCCTAGGGTCTCTTGGTTAGTTTACCTACTAACTAAACATTAGTAGCAAAACTAGGAAGATTAAGAGTAAATATTTGGGGGGCTGGAGAGATGGCTCAGAGGTTAAGAGCACTGACTGCTCTTCCAGAGGACCGGGAGTCAATTCCCAGCACCCACATGGCCACTCACAACTGTCTGTAACTCCAAGATTTGACTGTCTCACATACCTACAGGCAAAACACCAATGCACATAAAATAAAAATAAATAATTTTTTTTAAAGGAGTAAACATTTGAGGATTACGTCATCTTAAAAAAAATGTCTAGCTTCTTGGGCCTGGGGATTTGTCTATCATCTTTAGAATTTAAACCACAGTGGCTGGACTGTAATGGTGCACACCTTTAATCCCAGCACTCGGGAGGCAGAGGGTAGATCTCTTAGGCCAACCTGATCTACAGAGTGAGTTACAGGACAGCCAAGGCTACACAGAGAAACCCTGTCGAAAAAAAAAAAAAATTAAAGGACATAGAAAAGGAGATCCTTAGTAGTGAAGCTATAAAAAGTAGTTATTGCTCAAACATTTGCAGTTGCCAAACCAAGGGCCACACAGTAGCATCAAAACTGGCAGGGTCCATCGGGGGATTGATGATTCATACTTAACTCTTATGGGCCTGAGGGACACAGCAAAGATGCCAGGGTCTGTTTTAGTTTTATGGAGAAAACAGGAATCTGGGGCCACCAATGCTATTATAGCAACATCTCCCAACAGTGGTGTTTCCCTAACTCTAGTTCTGTGATTCCACACTTATCACTGTGCCTTTCATTTGAAGATGAGCCCAAGAATATAAATTATACAATGTGTGGTTCAATCCATTTTGTTTCATGTGATGACTTTTTCTTTTTTAAGATTTTATTTATTTATTATGTATACAACATTCTGCTTTCATGTATATCTGCACACCAGAAGAGGGCACCAGATCTCATTACAGATGGTTGTGAACCACCATGTGGTTGCTGGGAATTGAACTCAGGTCCTCTGGAAGAGCAGTCAGTGCTGTTAACCTCTGAGCCATCTCTCCAGCCCACATGTGATGACTTTTACATGAACATTAAAGGCTAAGGTAAAGCAGGACTATTTACACCATAGTCAAATTGTGCACAGTCAAATTGTGCATAGCCAAATCCTGTGCAGATTTAAAGTAGATTGTGTTGTGCCCATGTATTCAGATTAGTTATCTCTGGATTGGAATCATAGACTGCTTTTCTATTTCCTTTAATCTCAGTGTTTTTAGTCTGTTTTTTATTTGCTTATTTTATAGTTTCCTAAAGGGGATGGCTATATGTAGCTTATTTGAACAGAGAAAAACAATGTTTTGAGGATGCTTATTTTATATTAAGGTATAGAAAATATAAAATGCAAATGTGGTTCAAGGCTCACATAAATACCTAATGCTATTAGTAGGTAAACTCAAATTTAATAGACCAGCCACCAGCTTGGCATTGGACGTTTTTTTAAAAAAAGTAATTCATTGTCTTGAGGGGATTACTGCAGAGTCCATCAGTACCTGGTGGTACAATATGTCCCTATCCAAATACAGTTCTAACTGTTTCAACTGCTTTCCTATGGAGTTTGTTACATTTACTTCATAATTAAATGATAAAACTTAAACCTGGCATGGCAGCACACTTTTAAACCCAGTACTTGGGAGGCCAAGGCAGGAGTTTGAAGCCAGCTTGGGCTATAGTGTAAGATCCTCTCTCTAATAATATTTTTCCTAAATCACACATTTACTCAGCTTGCTAGTTTTGTTTTAAATTATGTAAATTTATGAATTAAACCCTGGGTTAAGGCAAATAACCCCAGTAATTAGGAGGACATAGACATAGTCATTTTAGAACTTCCACATATACCAGAAAAGCTTGAACAGTACTCAGATAAACAACCACTACATGTATATATAGCCTTTGAATTACTGTCTTCTTAATTCCTAGATTTACTGTTTTTGAAGGCTTTATATATATGTTTATCCTCTGAAAATCATCAAATCTGAGCCAAGAAAATGAGCTCATATTAATATAACAGGAAAGCATTTTTATAGACCACTATTGGCTTGCTTGTACCCACTTCAAAAAACATCAGAATGCTGTGTGTGACTTCAGACATCCTTCACTTTTTGTCAAGAAGCCGAGAATCTTACAAAAGGAAAGGCTGAGATTTAAAATGACTCTAGCTGGACTGGAGACTCTCAACTATAATCCCAGAACTGGGGAAACAGAGGTAGACAGATCTCTGAGTTTGAGGGCCACCCTGGTCTACAGAAGGAGTTCTAGGATAGCCAGGGCTACACAAAGGAAAATAAATAAATAAATAAATAAATAAATAAATAAATAAATAAATAAATAAATAAATAAAGTGACTTTAAACTGGGTGCAGTGATGTGAGTTAAACAACCCTTGGGAAAATAAAGTTTGTGGGTGAGCTTTGATCTTTTTATGATATATACAGATTTTAAATGCCATTTCTACTTTGTGTTTGTAGTCATTTTTAGTTTTAGTGCTTTGTAAGTTCCTTTATTTGCCTGTAACAATCTCTTAATCTAATTTTGAATCATTAAAGCCATCACAGTATCTTTAGTATTCTGGAATTTAAAGATGCTACTTTAATTCTTTAAGATTATCTTATCCCTGTGTTAAACTGAAAATGATGACCTCACTTTACAAATGCATTATTAGCTGTCTTTTCTGAAGATGTTAAGTGGGGTGTTTTCAAATGAGTGATTGGTGGGTCATGGATATTTGCAAATGATTTGTGCATCCTATAGACCAAGGCTTTATAAAGTTGTGAAAATGCCAAAAGGAAGGATTAAACTGGTACAGAAACAAAAATGGAAAATGACTGTATCATGGTTTTAGTAGACATCAAGAAAGAGTTCCATAGTTTTGTTAGCACAGAGGGAAATTCATTTTACTTTGTTCTTGAAATGAGGAAGGAGGCTTTGGGTAAGATACCCCTAGTGGGTCCTTTAACTCAGGCCTTGAACAGGCCAAGACATATGATATAGAGACTCTCAGGAGGCCAGGTGTGATGGATGGTGCATGCCTCACTGCCAGCCTCACTGCCAGCATGAGCTGCTTAGTAAAACACTGTTGAGGTGGGGGTGGGGTGGGGGCAATCCTCAGACAGAACAAACAGTGGCAAGTCATTAAATGGGTTTCTTTCCTGAAGAACTTTCCTTAGCTAGAAACAAATAAGAAAGGGAGGGTCCCAAGAGCTCAGTTCCCCCTGCTCTCATTGGAAAATTAGAAAGGAGCTCAGTGAAGTGGTTCATTGGGAATCATGGAATTGAGTTGTTTTTTTTTTTTTTTAAATTAGGCTGATATTTATGTTTTTGAATGAAAAGTTACAGGTGAGTAATGTTTATTTCCATGACCCAGAATGAGATTGAATACATCCTTTTCTTATCTTGATGTGAGACTGATGAACATTTACAATATAGCAAAGAAAGCCAACAGATTCAGGACAGGGAAGTGTGCTCAGAGCTAGAGTGGGGTGGGGTGGGGTCCCTGTGGATGGATAGCTGTGATTGATTAAGCCAACTGATTGAGGGAAGTGATGCCAGAGTGTTACTGTACAAGTGATACTTGCTTATGGTGTATATTTTTACCCATGTGCCTTTTAAGATGGATCTCAGATTATAAAGTTTGAGAATTAAATTTAAACCCAGACTTTTGTGGTGGCACACACCTGTAATACCAACACTTAGGAGACTCACCTTGACTTTGAGCCCAGGCTGACTATAGAGTGAGACCTGTTACAGAAAGAGCAGTTGTGAAGTTTTGCACAGCCCGTTCCTTTCAGCCACAAACAATGTAGTGCTACTTCTAAATTTGACTGAATTTTTTAACTAAATTTTTAAAGATTTTATTTATTATGTATACAATGTTCTGCCTACATGTATGCCTGCAGGCCAGAAGAGGGCACCAGATCTCATTATAGATGGTTGTGAGCCACCATGTGGTTGCTGGGAATTGAATTCAGGCCCTCTGGAAGAACAGTCAGTGCTCTTAACCTCTGAGCCACCTCTTCAGCCCCAAATTTGACTTTCAGTTTATAGAATTTATCAGACTACCTCTGGTGAACGATTGGCCTGTGACTCTGTTTGAGTAACTGTCCCCCAACATCCCAACATGAAGATCCCCTCAGTTCTAAAATGAATGCTATCATTCCATCTTGATTCTTCTTAGGAATAGAAACTAGAACTGCTGTTTAACTATTTTCTTGAACTGACAGAACGTCCTGACTGGTGCTGTTCCCTCTGCAGGGCGGCAATCATGGTTTGTTTGGAAACAGCACAGCACAATCGAGAGGTCTGCACACTCCAGTGCAGCCACTGAGTTCTTCTCCTGGTCTCCGGGCACAAGTGCCTCCCCAGTTTATCTCCCCCCAGGTAAGCTGGAGTTAGAGAACATGGAACTAGTGGCCTGTTGATACTGCCGGGTTGGTGCGCATTAAAGGGACAGCTGGACATTTGCCAAATCCAGATGCCAAGTGCAAGATTGTTGGAACAGAATATCAGCCCCCCTTTTTAAATTGCATCATGCATACAAAGTCCGTCCTTTGCAACTACTAATTGTCTAATACTGTATTGGTTTTGTTTTATTTTTGTTCCTAATTAAAAATAGTTTGTAGTCAAGCTATAGTGACTCACACCTTTAATCCCAGCACTTGGGAGACAGAAGTAGACGGAGGTCAGTGAGTTCAAGGCCAGCCTGGTCTACAGAGTGAGTGCCGGGACAGTTACACAGAGAAACCCTGTCTTGGAAAACAACAGCAACAACAAAACCAGTTTATAAATTCTAAGGTAACTGTGTTCAGAAAGAGAATGCCCTCAGGGATTTGCCTGAAGATACACAGAATTATGAAATTCTTAGTTTTTCTGTAGAGCTCTAAGGAGCTGTATGCTAAAATACTGATTTCCTACTCAGAGAGCCCTAGAGCTGGTGAAGAGGCCAGTCTGACAGGACTGTGCAGAGGCAGCAGTTAGTGTGATAAATGTCAGATAGCCAGCAAAGTTTGGGACCAGGGTGGTGTTTCACCTGCTTAAATGTTCCTGGCATCACTAGCAGTGACATTTAAACTGAACCTTTAAGAGTAAGTTCAAAATTCTGATTTAGCCACATTAAAGAGACCTTCCCAGCCACAGGAACTTTGTGCCATTGCAATGATAGCTGGAGTTGGTGTGTGAAGGAAAGGATTAGTGTGAACAGGTTGATAGAGATGCATGCAATCCTCAGTGGGATGAGAAGAAACTATACAAGGAATTAGGGACAGAATATGGCAAAACTATGTTTGCCTTGCTCAGGAGTTTTGTTTTTTTAGAGACAGGGTCTCACTATAGCCCTGGCTGGCCTTAAAATCAGAGATCTTACTGCTTCTGCCTCCCCAGTACTGGCATTAAAGGCTGTGCCACCACACCTTGGCAGTGTTAAATCATTATTAATGAATGTTTCATTAGATACATTTACCTTAATTTACTTAACACTCTTCCCCTTTTATTGGATATTAAATTGTTTCTAAATTTTTACTATAATAAGTAATCTGCAGAGAAATTCTACAAAAACCTTCATCCATATTAGTTTCATTCTATGTAGTGCAGACTGGCCTTGAACTCATGATCCTCCTACCTTAGCCTCCCTAGTGCTAGGATCACAGGCATGGGCCTATATTACTTCTAAACTTAGTTGTCCAGAATGCAGTTTTTGAGGTTTTGTTTGTTGCTTTTATAAAGAAGAGACACTGAAAGTTACATTTATCACAAGGCTAGGAATGTTGTTCAGTTGTAGGAAGTTCACACAGCATGTGTGAGGTCCTAGGTTCTTTTCCCAGTATAGCCAGGAAAAAAAGAAAGAATTGTTACAGCCTTTGTTTCTACAATTGAGTATCCCTCCATCACTGGGGTATTCAGAAAGTAACATTCTAGTGGCTTTTGATGTACCTTTACATTTCTGCCATTTTGCTCCTGCAATGCATTGTTAAAAGCCATATTGATTGCTGGGAGATCTTCACTTTCTCCAGCCCAGCTGGAGACTGAGGGCTTTTAAGCCAGGGTAATTAACTCTCCACAATGGCTATATGCAAACATGCATGTTAATTACTTTGCATCCTAGGTTTTAGCAGCCATTTTTTCCAAGAGCATAGTGGTGATGCTTTTTGGTCTTTTTGTAACTCTTAGGAGACACTGTATCTATAGCCTGCAGAGGCAATGGAGCAAGACCTCCTGAATATAACTCATAAAGTCTAAAACTTAAGGAGCATATACAGTGGTGCAATATAAATATCATAATGCCTTATGTTGGTGTGCTCTTCTATATCTGGCCATCTTTAAATAGTGTTATTAATTTGGCCCTTTTTTATTTTAGGCAATGAAACCATATAGTATATATCAAAGACTATACAAAGCCAGGCAGTGATGGCATGTACCTTTAATCCCAGCACTAAGGCAGGCAGAGGCAGGCGGATCTCTGAGTTCAAGGCTAGCCTGGTATGTAGATCAAGTTCCAGGATGGCCAGGGCTACACAGGGCTACAGGACTCTCTTGGGAGAAAACAAAAGAAAATATATACTATATGTAGTATATATGAAGTATATAGGGAAATTGTAGAAGGTATGTTCCACATACTTGTCATAAAACTGTGGTGGGAGCCAGACCCCACAGTCATGGTATGCTCATATTGTGCTGTGAATTCAGCAGTTCAAAGAAAGATCAAATATGTTTTTAAGATGGGTAACACTCAGCATCACCAGGATGGAGAGGAAGTAAACAACCTCACAGTAGAATTGATTGGGTAACCAGTTGTGGCTGAGATCATGGGGGGAAAAAATGAGTTGATGGGCTGGATATATAGCAAGTCTGAACTTGATCAGATATTTCTAGACTAGAAAAGATATATAGTTGATATATAGCAAGTCTGAACTTGATCAGATATTTCTAGACTAGAAAAGATAGTCATGCATTCTAAAGGATGTTCAGGGGTGGTGACTTGAAATTAATAGGGGACTGCCAGATTGCCAGGTGTAGTAGCACATGCCTTTAATCCCAGCACCCAGAGGGCAGAGACAGGCAGATCTTCAGCATGGTCTGCATAGTGAGTTCCAGGACAGCCTGGGCTGTGAGTGGTAATTTCAAAGGACAGGGCAGGACAGAGAAACCTCCATTGACAGCTTAGTGAGTAGTGGGCTCTTTTCAAGCTGATCAATTTCAGGCTGGGCAAAAGTTCTGCTTGCATCCTTCTAGATTATCCTCAGCTCTACCTAGCTGGTTCTTCGTTTTCATCTATGGTCTCCATGGGGCAGCAGAGTGCCAATAAGTAGACAAAAATTATTTGAAAATAACTTGGTGAATTACTCTTATTTAGAATATTGGCAGTGTGTTCATTTAGTAAGCACTTATAGAGTATCTACATAAAGATAAATGCATTAAAAAAAAAAACGAGAGACCTATTTTCATGGGTTCAATATTACCTTGTGAGGGTGGAGCTAGGACTGTTGCTCCTTGATAAGAGGGCTTGCCTGTCACTGATTCAGGCCTTGGGTTTATTCCTCATCGCTGCAAAAAGTAAAGAGAACTCTGGGAAGCAAACATTTAAAATACTGTTGGTTCTGATTGATATGGAGCTTACAGTTGAATAGAGAGTTAGGATGTGATCACTAGAGAAATAGACCTGAGGCTATATTAGAAAAAGTCTGGCTTTGCAAAGTTCTTAGGGATGGCCACATCTACTTGGTGTTAGACTGTACCTAGAAAATGACTTTCTGTTCTTGGTTCTGCATTGAGAAACAGGTGAAAGAAGCAGGTGTGTTAGCTTGATGGTGGAGAACTGAAGAACCGTTCTGTGACATAAGAATGGATATTTACAAAGTACATTTCTAAGTCTTTAGCATAGAGCAACTCAAATGTCTCAGACAACACATGGAGGTTTTTATTGGTTGGTTTAGTTGCTTAATTACTTTCTATTCCTGTTTTTGATGTAGACAAATAAAATTCAAAAAAGGTTAAATAAGGTGCTTGTTCTGAGTCACAGCTTAGAAATGATAGAGACTGGGATACGTGCCTAGAAGACTGTCTCAAGCCCTAAAATCAGTTTGCCTGCCTGCTGCCTGCTGCCTGCCTCCTTTCCCTTCCCTTCCCTTCCCTTCCCTTCCCTTCCCTTCCCTTCCCTTCCCTTCTGTATTTATTTACTTAGATTCTGTTTAGATATTTATTTGGTTTTTCAGGGCAGGGTTTCTCTGTGAAGCCCTGGCTGTCCTAGAACTCTTGCACTGTAGACCAAGGTGCCCTCGAACGCAGTGATCTGCCTGCCTCTACCTCCCAAGTGCTGAGGTTAAAGGCGTGTGCCACCGCCGCCTGGCTTTTTTATTACTTTTAATGGGTCTCTATGCATTGTCAGAATGGCCCAGAATTCCAGGGATCAAGAGATATGTCTGATTCCCAAGGAGTTGTGACAACAAGGCCTTGCCCCATTAATACTGAATAAGCTCTTAGCCCCTGTGCTGTGTGGAAGTTTTAGGGTTGTTCTCTATGGTTCAACTGACAGTGGTACCAAGAATAAAAGTATGGGGGCGTGGGGGCTGCTGGAGAGATGGCTCTACTCTTCCAGAGGTTCTGAGTTCAATTCCCGGCAATCACATCAAAGCTCACAACCGCCTTGAATGAGATCTGGTGCCTGCACTCTTCTGGCCTGCAGGGCACATGCAGGCAGAAGACTGTATCTTAATAAATAACATCTTAAAAAAATTCCGGGGGGTGGGGGGGCTTTAATCCCAGCACTCCAAAGTCAGAGGCAGGTGAACCACCCCAGCTTCTGGTAAACATTTGTTAGCTCTAAGCAGTTTAGCACATTTTGTTATATGGCATGTTTCAAATGCTGATTTCTCAATTAGAGAAAAGCCATATTGTCATTATTTTTTTTTAAAGATTTTTTTCCCTGATTTAAATTTTCATCATTTTTACTGCAAGAAATTAGAAAGTCTTAGGTGAAAATGGAAAGGTTCTTAACAACCTCACAGCCCAAAGATAGATAACCATTGTTAACACTGTGGAGTATCCTGCAGAGTTTTCTCAAGAAAACAGCAGTGCTTTAGAGCTATCAAGAGACAACAACGACAAAAAAAAGTTTTTATTTTGGTAAATTCTAAGGATTTTTTTCCTTTCTTCTGTTAGGTTTCTGCCTCAATGCTCAAACAGTTCCCCAACAGTGGCCTGAATCCAGGTCTCTTTAATGTGGGGCCTCAGTTATCTCCTCAACAAATTGCCATGCTGAGCCAGCTTCCACAGATTCCCCAGTTTCAGTTGGTAAGTAGCATGTTTTCTCCTGTTGCTAAAAATGTTATTTGCTTCTCTTTTTGCTTTGCATTATTTTCCTTCTCTTTGTCTCTTTATGTTCAAACTTTTATCCAGATGATTAATTATGATTAAAAATTGATATGTCCATTTGCCTGAAGATAACCTTAATTATAGACTAGGAACTTGGTTATGAGTGCTCTGCATGTTCACTCCATGTCAGTCTTAGGAAGCTGTGGTTCCCTTCTCATTGTTTTGTAGGCATGTCAGCTTCTCCTGCAGCAGCAGCAGCAACAGCAGTTGCTACAGAACCAGAGAAAGATCTCTCAAGCCGTGCGCCAACAGCAAGAACAGCAGGTGTGTGGGTGGGGAGGTCCCCTGGTGCTCTGGGTGAGGATGCCTTTGACTGAACAGCTACTGTGGGATACTGGCTTATCTGTTCATTTCTCTTGGGTCCTTCCTTAATGGATGCTGAACCTGCAGCTAGCAAGGATGGTGAGTGCTCTCCAACAGCAGCAGCAACAGCAGCAGCAGCAGCAGCAACGGCAGCCTAGCATGAAGCATTCGCCATCTCATCCTGTTGGACCTAAGCCACATTTGGACAACATGGTACCCAATGCACTGAATGTGGGACTCCCAGACCTTCAGAATAAAGGGCCAATTCCTGGATATGGTTCTGGTATGTTCTGTGTTGTAGAAAGTACTTAGTGTAAAATCTACCTATCCAATCCTGTAGTAGCAGGTGACTTTGCTTTTTTTTAAAATGTTATTTATTTTCTTTCATAAAAATTTGACGCCAGCCTGGTCTACAGAGTAAGTTCCAGGACAGCTAGGCTACACAGTGAAACTGGAGGGTGTGGGGGGGGGGATTTGAGATTTATTTTTATGTGTTTTGATTGCGTGTATGTCTGTGCACCACACATGTGCAATGCCCTCAGAGGCTAGAAAAGGGTGTTGGATCCCTTGGAACTAGTGTTATAGGTGATTGTTAGGTGTCATGTGGGTGCTGGAAATCAAACTCTGTTCCTCTGGTAGAACAGTCAGAGCTCTTAACTGCTGAGCCATGTCTCCTGCTCCCCTCTGTTTTTGCAGTGGATAATGGTATGCTATAATCCCAGCACTGAGATGTGAAGACAGTCCTTGGTACTCAGTGGCCACCTAGTGTAACATAATCTGAGAACTCCAAGCCAATGAGAGACCCTATCATTTACCAAAAAAAAAAAAAAAAAAAAAGGCATCTTCTGATTATCCACAAAGATTGACACCCCCCCACCATGCACACATGTTAGCACACACATGAGCATCCATATAATCATACATGGAATTCATACACGAACATATACAAGCCAATTAAGTATTTATATATCCTCTGCATGCTGCCCATGGCTGAGGTTGTATCTATAAAAGCATGTACAAGTTTTAAGTGTTTCACTTCACTGATATGACAGTTTTTTAAAAGGTGGGGTATGGCACAAATAAGGCTAATTTTTTACATTGAGAATTTCATCTCTTTAGAGATGGGCAGCATGCTGTAAGCAGGGTCCATTCAGTGAGACAACACTAATTTAAAAATAAAAAATAATAGCTGAGTATAGTTGCACATATCTGTTAATCTCAGTGGTTAGGAAACTAAGCCAAGAGTATTTCAAGTTCAAGGCCAGCCTGAGCTACATAGCAAGGTGTTAGGGTTTTTGTTTGTTTGTTTCTTTAATGGCATTTAGAATTTATTTTGGTAAAGAAGATACCAATCTGTGTAAAAAGGAAAAAAAAAAAAAAAAAGACTGAGAAGACCTGAAACCTGTTCCTGGACCGGCTGCTTTCTGGCCTGACCTACTAGGATTTCTAGCTTGAGCTAGGAAGTAGTTAACAACTAGGGTGTCTTTGACCTGAGTCTCAGCTTTAACTAGCTGTCTTCTTACAGGTGACCTGAGAACTGACTTAAACTCAGAATAGCCTCTCTGAGACTACAAGTGGTAGAGTGAATACTTAATAAGTACAAAGCCTGGCTTCTGTTCTCTGTTCTGAGAGGAAAAATACCTTTCTTCCACTTGACATAGGACAGGCCCTTTCCTGCACTTGCTTGCTCTTCTCTGGGCTATAGAAGGTCAGTGTGGCCAGTAGAGGGAGCTTCTCTTCATGACTTGCAAAGTACAATGGTGACTTTGCTACCTTCTCAGTCCTGTTTTCTTTAAGGGGTGAGCTTGAGCGAAGAGGCCAGTTAGTATAGATGTGGAGGTGCTTCTGACTGTAGACTTCAGACACAGCATACGAACACAAAACAGGACATCTTGCCTGTAGTGAGACTTTTTTCTGGTCTGCCAGCTCGCAAATAATGACACAGAGACTTAATATTGATTATGGAAGTTTGGCCTTTAGCTTATGCTTTTCCCTGCTAGCTCTTATAACTTAACTAATCTGTCTTTATTAATCTATATTTTGCCATGTGCTCAGTTACCTCTCTGTTCCATATGTCCGACTTGTTCTGTGTCTCACTGGTGTCTCCACTCACCTACATTCCTTCTCTTCCTCTCCCCAGAAATCATGCCTATCCACTCAGCTCTTTATTAAACTAATCAGAAGGTGCCTTGGCAAAGACACATGGCAAGTCACAGTGTACAAAAAATTATCCCACAATATTTCCCCCTTTTGTCTAAATAAAAAGGGAAGGTTTTAACTCTGACACAGTAAAACCTTATACAGTAAGGGCAATTATCAAGTCAGAATACATTCACAATGTCCAGTCCGTATGTATTTCTCAAAGTCAGAGAAAGTACTCTATTACCTATCCTATCCTAGTGAATCCAAAGTTTTATACCTAAGCCACTTTCTATCATAACTTGTGTTGCCAACCTAAAAATACCTTTTTGGACCTTAGAAACAGCTTCTTAGATAAACAACTTAAGCTTTTATGTTTCTCGGCCTTATAAACTTTACTCCTCTTATGTAAGTTTCTTTTCTGAATTTGGTAACAAGGAAAACTGTAACTATCTATTCTTCAACCCCATCAGAGACCCAAGAAGAATATATTAACTAAGTAAACAGGAAGTGCAGAGCAAGCAGCTCCCAAAACTGTAGAAATGACAGAAACAGCTGGCTGGCTGAACAGTCAACCAAGGTTCCTCTACAATGTTGGGGCATCCATCTTTGGCCTATAGGCCTAGAATATCTGACAGACTTTTCTGTGAAGCAGAAATTTTGTAGGACTATCCTACCCTGACTTGACAAAGTTCAGTGGTCACCTTTTGTGTTCTGCTTGTCCAGTATGGAGAGCATACTTGTCAGTAGTCGAGGCAAGGGCAGTTTCTTGCCCAGTGGCTAGCTTTGCCACAATGAAAACAAACTCCATAAGGAGAATTTTTGATGCCCATCCTCTTTTTTTTTTTTTTAAATAGATTGGTGCTGCCAGGAGCATACCTATCTCACTGTCATGCAGAGCCTTAGGTTATTAAAACATCTTTTTTTTCCAATAATTTGTTTAACTTTATTTTATGTGCATTGGTATAAAGGTGTTAGATCCCCTAGAACTGGAGTTACAGACAGTTATAAGTTGCCATGTGGGTGCTGGGAATTGATCCCAGGTCCTCTAGAATAGTCAGTGCTCTTAACCACAGTTCTATCTCTCCAGCCCCTTATTAAAACATCCTAAATGCCATATTTTGTAGGTCTCAGAAGTGTTTGAAGATCACCTATCTAAAATATATGCTTAACCTTGAAAACATACCTGAGTACAAATTTTATTATTATGGATGACTAACTACTAACCTAGTTTGTAATAATAACTTTCAAGGTTAGAATTATGTATTACATTTTTTAAATAAACTGTATGGGGCTGGGTAGTGGTGGCGCACGCCCTTAATCCCAGCACTTGGGAGGCAGAGGCAGATGGATCTCTGTGAGTTCCAGGCCAGCCTGATCTACAAAGAAACCCTGTCTGGCAGGGGCGGGGGTTATAAAGAAATAAACAAACTGCATAAGCAATACCTTAAACAAGAGTAAAAACATAGATATATAGATATATAGTATATTCTGACAAAAATAACCTTAAATTTGTATCAATATACAAAAATACATACCAATATAAAATATTTGAGATTAATAGTTTTATTAATAGTTGAGATTAATAAACTACTTTGTAGTTTAAAAGTATTCAGTATTCTACCCTTTTAATCTATCATTACTATATTCCTCCTTTTCTTTTCAGAAAGAGATTCTTGAATCCAACCTCCCTCCTTTAGTTTCCTCCCTTAACATGACCAGTAAAAATTTCCTCCTAAACATGACAAACATCCATAACCACCAAATGACCAAAAACTACCCACCCACCTCTTGGGAATGTGGGTGGCATATTCTTTTTATTTGTTTTTGTTTGTTTGCTTGTGTTTGTTTGTTTGTTTGTTTGGGGGGGCAGGTTTCCAGACAGGATTTCTCTGTGGCTTTGGAGCCTATCCTGGCACTCGCTCTGGAGACCAGGCTGGCCTCAAACTCACAGAGCTCCGCCTGCCTCTGCCTCCTGAGTGCTGGGATTAAAGGCATGTGCCACCAACACCTGCCCCCCCCTTTTAATTTTATTTATTTGTTTGTGGGGTTTTTTAAAATAATCTTTTAATTATCTCTTATGTACACTGGTGTTTTGCCTGCATGAATATCTTTATGAGGGTATTGGATTCCCTGGAACAGGAGTTACAAACAGTTGTGAGCTGCCAAGTGGGTGTTGGGAATTGAACCTGGGTCCTGTGGAAGAGCAGTCAGTGCTCTTAACCACTGAACCATCTCTCCATCCCCATTGTTTGTAGTTTTTCAAGACAGGGTTTCCCTGTATAACAGTCTTGGCTGTCCTGGACTCACTCTGTAGACCAGGCTGGCCAAACTCAGAGCTTCTGCCTTTGAAATGCTGAGATTAAAGGCATGCACCACCACACCTGGCTAGACTTATCTAATTTTATTTAAATATTTTATTTTTATTAATATTAAACTATATAATATTTACATAGTATACCTAGTGAAGAATAAAGCTGTATATAATGGAAATTATGAAAATAAAAATAGGACCAACAAGACAGCTCAGTGAGTAGAAGAACTGCCACAAAGCCTGACAACCTGGTTTTGATGAGAGTTCACAAGTAGATAAAGGTCACCATAGAAGTGCTCCTGAGTGCAGCCATTAGGGCATGGTCCACATCCTGGTGCCATCCTGGTACTATACGACAGCAAGAAGAGTCTTTACCAGCCAGTCATATGCCTCAGCATACCAGGCAAGCACTGTGCTGTGGACTACATGCAGTCCTCAACATTTCTGTTTGCACTAAGTTTTCCTCTTAAGTTTGGGTTATAGATTGACTCTATGATGTCATTGTTTTGGCACTCAGCCCCCACATTTCCAATGAAGCGAATGCCTTTCTTAAGCTTCAGTGAGGTCTGCTCAGTTCTTGCCTCTTCTAAGGTTTATGACTCATTTCCTACTCTTCCTATGTCACAGAAAAACTCAATAGTTTAAGTTAAATAGCATTAATTTACTAAGTTTGAAAGACATTATAAAGGGGGCTGGAGGGAGGCTCAGCTAGTTAAGAGCTCTGGCCACTCTTCCAAAGGACCCAGGGTTCAATTCCCAGCACCCACATGGCTGCTCACACTGGTATGTAATTCCAGTTCCAGGGCTTCTGATACCCTCACACAGACATGCTTGCAGGAAAAATACCAATGAACAGGGACTGGGGATTTAGCTCAGTGGTAGAACGCTTGCCTAGCAAGTGCAAGGCCCTGGGTTCAGTCCTCAGCTCTTAAAAAAAAAAAAAAACCATTGAACATAAAATAAAAATAAATTATATATTTTTTAAAAAGGCATTTTAGAGTAACTAAATTATTATGTGAGGACAGCCTTGCTGTTGGTTTTTTTACTCTTTACTCTTTTGGCTTTTTTATTCTTTTGGGGGGCCCACCACTCAATTCCCAAATAAATCACAAACAGAGGCTTATTCTAACTTATAAACACCCGGCCTTAGCTTGGCTTGTTTTTTGACAACTTCCCTTAACTTAGATTATCACAGCTATCTTTTGCCTCTGGGCTTTTTCCTTTTCTTCCTTTTGTGTATCTCTACTTTCCCTCTTACTCTGTGGCTGGTTGGGTGGCTGGCCCCTGGCATCCTCCTTTCCTTTTATCTTGCTCCTTCGTCTTTTCACCCAGATTTCTCCTTCTGTTTATCCTCTCTACCTGCCTCCCTGGCCTATCCTTTCTCTTGCCTCGGTATTGGCCATACAGCTCTTTATTAGGTCATCAGGTGTTTTAGACAGGCAAAGAATCACAGCTTCGCAGAGTTAAACAAATGCAGCATAAACAAATGTAACACAGCCTCCTTCTCTCCTTACCAGTCCTTGTGTCTTTGTCATCTTTGCCCAAAGCTGTGCTTTCAGAAGCCTGCAGTTGCAACACCTTGGCCTGCTTGCCTTTCCAAGGCAGAAGTGTAATGTGCAAGGAGCAACATATTTAGCCCCAGGGACTCACAGACAGCCCTCTTTCTTCCAGAGCCCCTGTTCTCCAGTCTCATTTTATTTCCGTTGTAGAAGATAAGTTTGCTTGGCTTTATAATCTCCAGGCTGGAAAGATGGTTCAGAGTGTGTACTACTCTTGCAGAGTACCTGAGATCGAGGTCCCATCACCCACAACTGCCTGTAACTTCAGCTCCAGCTCTGATGCCCTTTTTCTAGCCTCTGCAGGCACTCTTACCCACACACAGTTACACATAGTTAAAAATAAAATCTACTCACCACCCTCACCCTCCAACAAGCAGTTGGGCTACATTATAAATGTGTGGAGAAACAGGGTTATTATAGAAATAAGAAACATTTTAGACGAAGGGCAAGAAGGTGTCAGATTCCCCCTCCCCTGACTTATACATTCATAAAACCAAGCCAGACACTATGATAAGCCCTGGGGAGGAGAATATAGCATGGGCCTCCATGGGACTTGCATCTATAGAGCTTGAGAAAGAGCCATCCTAAGGTACCACCTTACATTAGGAGAGCAGAGTAAGAACATCTGGGCTCTGACCTGGCTGGAGCCCCATAGAAAGCCTGTTGACTGAGGTGTGTGTTTTACCCTATCCACCCACCAACCCTCGTTTCTGGGCTGTGATAGAAGTCCCCTCCCCAGGACACTAGCTTCCCACAACTCATCTCATTTTCCTGTGGTGATGTATACCATTTCACTGCCTTGCTTTACCCTGTAGTTTCTGTTTTGAGTGTCAGCTCGAAAATTGCATTGTGACCCAGTGGAGAATGGGTGACTGACCCAGTGAGATTACATTAGGGAGTCTTTCAGGTTGTATATGGCTTTCAGTCTCTGGTACTGTGTGGTGAGAGAGCCTGACAACACTGAACTCAGAATCTCTAAAATATGCCTTCTATAACTCACTCTGAACATTGGCTTTCAGCTTGATCTCTCAGGTTGCACCCCAACCTCCATGTGTTACCACTTTTACTTCTAAAACAGTGCTCTTGTGCACAAGTCTGTCTCTCTCTGTCTGTCTGTCTGTCTGTTTCTCTCTCTCCTCTCCCTCCCTCTCTCTCTCTCTCTCTCTCTCTCTCTCTCTCTTTCTCTCTCTCGTTCTCTTGCTCTCTGTCTCTTTCTCTCCTTCCCTTCTCTCCCAAAATTTCTTTTCCGTTTTAGAGGAAAAAATAAAAAGACTCTAGCCACTTAGCAGACATAGACACACTGAAGTGTCATTTGACTTCTTGTCATCCTCTAAGCACACTTGAATGTCATGAGTCAGACCCTTTACTGGTTTCTCTCCTGGCACCCTTAACACAACTTACTCTCCCATGTTAGTGTCAGAAGTAGCTGGAGAGTGGTTGAATCTGGTCAGCTGTCTGGCACAAATATTTGTTTGCTCAGTGAAAATGTGGGTGCAGGAAGACAATGACATGTACCTAATTACATGACAATGACACCCATTTTTATACCATTAAAAAAAAAAAGACAGCAGGACCCAAGATTAGAGTTTGAAATCAAGTGGCTGATTCTGTATAAAGACCTTGTGAGTCAGCTGCAAATTGTCAAAAGGTGTTCTTGGGTTCTTCCTGGGGTAATTGGTTTATTTATTTCTTTATATTTTTATTTTTTTCAAGATAGGGTTTCTCTGTAGCGTTGGTTGTCCTGGCACTCACTCTATAGACCAGACCAGACAGAGATCCACCTGCCTCTGCCTCCAGAGTGCTGGGACTAAAGTCATGTGACACCAACATTATCATCCTGCCCCAGCCTTGGGTACTCGGTTTCTGGTTCAAGACATAAATAGACATAATTGTGATCTCTTTCCAGGCTTCAGCTCTGGTGGCATGGACTATGGCATGGTTGGTGGCAAGGAGGCTGGGACTGAGTCTCGCTTCAAACAGTGGACCTCCATGATGGAAGGGCTGCCTTCTGTGGCCACACAAGAAGCCACCATGCACAAAAATGGTGAGAGAGCATCCTCATGTTACTAACAGAATCTTTTGACCCCTACTCAGTCCTTGAGCATGTTTTGTTGGCTTTGTATGTGTGTGTTTGTGTTTTCTTTTTAAGACTGGGTCTTCTTTTGGATCCCAGGCTGGCCTGAAACTCCCAGAAATCATCCTGCCTCAGCCTCCACAGTGCTGCCATCAAAGGTATGTCCCACCACACTTTAAAAGTCAGTATTTTGGGGCTGGAGAGATGGCTCAGCAGTTGAGAGCACTGATTGCTCCTGCTCTTCCAGAGGACCTAGGTTCAGTTCCTAGCACCCACATGGCAGCTCATAACTGTCTGTAACTCCAGTTCCAGGGTACCTGACACCCTCATGCAGGCAAAACACCAATGTACATAAATTTAAAAAAAAAAAAAAAAAAAAAGAATTTCAGGCCAGCTTGAGAGGCTGAAGCAGGTGGATCTTGGTGAGTTCAAGTAAAGCAAGTTCTAGGCCCAGCAGGAGTTACGTAAGACATTATCTCAAAAAAAAAAAAAAAAGAAAAAGAAAAGAAAAAAAGAACCTTCTTTAGTTAAATAAATGAATATTTCAATGTCTTTCTTGTAGCTCATGCTGGACTTAAACTCAAAAAGTCCTGCTGCCTTAGTCTCCTGTGTATTGGGATTAACAGTGTATACCATCATGGCTTCTTTTGTGATCTTTTATTTTTTTTTTTTTTTAACTCTTGTATATCAGTGCACCACATGTATGAAGTGCCCTTGGAAGCCAAGAGAGGGCATTATATTGCTGGGGACTAGGGTTAAAAACGGTTGTAAACCTCCAGGCAGTGGTCGTGCACATCTTTAATCACAGCACTCAGGAGGTCGGGGCAGCAGTTGAGGCCAGCCTAGTCTACAGAGTGATTTCAAGGACAGCCAGGGCTATCTATGCAGAGAAACCCTGTCTGGAGGGTGAGGGTGGGAAGTGGCTGTAAGCTACCATATGGGTGCTGGGATTCAAAACCATGTCCTGTAGAAGAGCAGCCAGGGCTCTTCACTACTGAGCCATCTGTCTAGCTCCCTTTTGTAATTTTTTGTGTACAGATCTTTAACTTTTGCTAATGAGTCTCTTGATATTTCCAAATAATCAAGATCAGATCTATCAGAGGAAGAGTACGCTTGCAATTCACATTACGAGGTATTTAAAGGGTTCTAGTTAAGGATGGCATAATGTCTCACTTGTCATGGGATTGAGGTTATAATTATGAACTTGGGCACCCATAATATTAAAACCCTATTAAATCAAGTGGCTGAGAGAACAGGATCCTCTTGTTGAGGTGTTGGTTGGTTGGTTTGGTTTGGTTTGGTTTGGTTTTCTGAGACAGGGTCTTGCTAAATATTTGTAGTCCATGTTAATCTCAAACTTCTGGCTTTTTGTTTTTTTGAGAGATTGGAGATCAGTATCAGATTTTAAAAGCCCCTTCCCTAAACTGGATATAGTGCATACAAGTTGAAGACCAGCTTGAGCTACATAATTTCAAGGCTATACTGGGATGCATAGTGAAACCCTGTCTCAGCAAAAGAAAAACCTCCCTCTGAACTCCAAAAGAGACTAGAACATGAGCATTCATAAGGATTGGATTTTTTTTCCAGAGCTCCTTGTTCTTTGTGAATTAGTGTCCCGCCAGGACAGCATTGGAGTTGTATTTTGAGTGTGGATTAGCCTTGCTGTCCATAATTTTGTTGAAGGGTTTCTCCATTTTCCTAGAAAAAAGATAAGAGGTCTGGACCTTCTTCAGCCTTTGATGTGTTGTTTCATTTGTCAATATTTCACTTGGACTCAGAGTTGTCTCTATGAACATCAATAAAAATAATTTCTGGTTCTTGCCTCAAAGCCCTGGCAGGCTCATCCAGGCCAACTCATTCAGTCTGCAGCCTTTCAGGTTTCCATCCATTATAAACTCTCTTTAATAAGCCCATTATAAAGCCTCTTTAGTAATCCCATCCAGAGACTGGAAAAGGAGCACCCAGAGCTCTCTGCCTATCCCTATTAAGCATGATCAAAATCAAGAATAATTTACTGAAATTACAAAATCTGTTTTATGGATTGAGTAACCCAGTCCTGTGTCATCTGCACCTCTGGGCACTTCTCCCTTAAACTAGTGATTTGCCAGGTCTGAATAATATAAAATAGCATGTGAGAAGATGTCTCAGAGGTACAATATCCTCTCATTTCCTTAGCAGCCCCCAAGATAATTGATCTTTTCATTTTCCATTACCTCACTACTGTGCCTCTGAAACAGATTTCTGTAACTGTCATCAGAAAAGTCAGTGTCCTCTTAGCAGAGAATGGAGACTATTTTAATAATATCCCTTTTAGTCCAAACCAAACAGATTGCTTTATTAAATATTTATTTAAGCATTTTAATACATTATTCTGCAAATCATTTTATGTGCTCATGATCACCACTCTAAGCCTATGTCAAATGAACTTTATTTGGGAAATAAGGAAATAATCTTCTATAGGCTCCTGAATTTTTATTTAAAATAAAATTTGTTATTATTGTTAACTTAAGGAATTTTAAGCTTTCAACTTTTCCTGCATGAAAATGATTGAAGAAGGCACTAACAAAGCCACAAGAATACCCCTGGGAATACAGTGACAAAGAATTTGCTGTTCTCTGTATGTGAGGCGGCCCTGGGTTCAGAAATGTAGAGTTCATTGCTGACATGCTGGCAAAGACCTTGGGTAGGAATTCCACCTCAGTGATTTGAAATTTAAAGCAGCTGTAGATAGATGGCACATTGCAGATTCCAGACAACCCAGGCTCAACCAGCCCTTAAGAGCAGGAATTAGAAAGCATTGATAGAAAGCTCACATAAAACTCTCCAAGGTACTAAATTTGTTCAGAGTTTTTCCCATTCCTTACTTTTGAGTGATTAGTGTAGAAACCATGGAGATACTGTGCTTCATAGTATATATGAGTCACTGACTTTATAACACCATGGGGCTTTCAGAATAAGAGCATTCCTGCATAAGGTGAGAAATGGAATGAATCATTTTGTTCATGCTGCATTAGTGGTAGGAGACGGGACGACAAACAAAACTGTCTTTGAGTTCCTTTAAAAAAAAAATGACGGGTAAGAAAGTTCTGTTTATTAGTTCTGTTTATCTTTTTTAATGTTTTTAAATTTCTTATTTTATCTGTGTAGATGTTTGGTCTGCTTTTATGTCTGTGCACTGTTGCATGCCTGTTCCCCACAGAGGTCATAAAAGGACATTAGATTCTCTGGACTGGAGTCAGAGACAGTTGAAAGCTGCACTGTGGATTCTAGGAATCAAACCTGGGCCATCTGAAGAATATCCAGTGGTCTTAACCTCTGAGCCATTTCTTTATCCCCCCAGGAGATCTTTCTTAAACAGTTAATTATTTCTCTCTTTTCTCAGGCTCTATTGTGGCCCCTGGTAAGACCCGAGGAGGGTCACCATACAACCAGTTTGATATAATCCCAGGTGACACGCTGGGTGGCCATACAGGTCCTGCTGGTGATAGCTGGTTACCTGCCAAATCTCCACCAACTAATAAAATCGGAAGTAAATCCAGCAATGCCAGTTGGCCTCCAGGTATTGTTCCTAAAATGCTTTTTCTAGAATAGTGCTTCTGTTTCATTTAGGTTCTGAACAAGATTGTGCCACTTGCTTTACTGAGGAAGCCCCGTGCTTTCTTTTCTGCATTAGTAGTTATTGTCTGATGAAGGCAAGGCATGCACCCTGATATGTGTGCCGTGGGAAAATAAAAGATCTTCAAGAAATGGGGAGTTAAGAATAATAAGTGGCCTTGCAGCTATGTATAGGATGCTTTATAACATGAGCTCTTTAAAGTGTGTATTGAATCGATTGACATATTCATTAGTTAGATATGTCATTTATATGCCTCAGGTACACAATGATGGGTTCAGTAAGATTCATGTGTCTCTCTTGCTCCCTCCTTCCTCCCTCTCCTCCCCTCTGTATTCTGTTTTTATTATAGAAAATTTAATAGCACAAAATTACAAATTAGTATTGTTCTTCTGTCTATATGTAATTCAGACATAAATGGATAATTACATTTTATTAGAGTAAAACAGTGCCAATTGTTCATATATAATACATATTGCTATTCTCAACACAATTGGGGAAATGTCAGTTTGTTAATGCTATCACATAGCTTTAAGTATCGAGTCAATGGATCCATAAAAACATGATAAGTTTTCATATATAGTTTTTCTCATGATCTGTTTGTTCCCCACTATCCCTGAACAGTCTGTGAAGCAATGGTCACTTATATTTCATTTTATTATGTGCATTTGGGGCAATATCTAATTAAAAAAAAATAGGAAAGATCACTGGTCTCAAGCCCAGATTTTCTCATAGTTCTTGACCTAACTTCATTAGGCATGAGCTCCTTCTTTCCCTTAAGACTTGAATTCCAGCCGGGTGTTGGTGGCGCACGCCTTTAATCCCAGCACTCGGGAGGCAGAGGCAGGCGGATCTCTGTGAGTTCGAGACCAGCCTGGTCTACAAGAGCTAGTTCCAGGGCAGCCTCCAAAGCCACAGAAAAACCCTGTCTCGAAAAAAACAAAAAAAGACTTCAATTCCTCTAGTAGCTGGAAAAATCATGTGTGGATCCAGACTTTGAACATGATCCCGTTCTCTACCAGGTGAATGGGTAGACAGTGTACTAGAGGACTTGCTATTGGCAAGAGCATTTATTCAGAGTAAACTTTTTTATTTCATGATGAAAATCCGATGTACAATAGATTCATTGTTTAGACTTTTCACAGAGTCATGTTTTTTTTCTACTAAACAATTATTTTAGCATTATAATAATAAATAAAAGTCAGGCCTTTACTTTAATCCCGGCACTTTCTTCATGTCTCAGAATTCCAACCAGGAGTGCCATGGAAAGGTATCCAAAATATTGACCCTGAATCTGACCCCTATGTGACCCCAGGAAGTGTGCTGGGGGGTACAGCCACATCTCCCATTGTAGATACTGACCACCAACTGCTGCGGGATAACACCACAGGTAAGTGAGCACCTGTGTGTAATCTATTTGTGGTACCTGATAATTTAAACAGAAAATGGAAGACTGTTGCTTTTATTGTTCTTTTTATTGTTTGGTTGGATTTTGTTTTCCCTTCTCTTTAATTTTAAATAAAATGCTTACAACGTTTCCCTGGTTATACTGACATTTGTTTCCAATATTTTCATCTTCATTTGTCACTTCAAGGGTCTAATTCTTCCCTCAACACCTCGCTGCCTTCACCTGGTGCCTGGCCCTACAGTGCCTCTGACAACTCCTTTACCAACGTTCATAGCACTTCAGGTACTTGGTGGCTTTTCCTCTCTTGCTTGACAGTTGACTGTTTATCAGTGGCATTTACTTCCTAAGGAGTGCCTATAAAGGAGGTGAAGAGCATGGGTCAGCACAGATGGGGGCACAACCTTCCTTTGCATTCACCATTCTCTCAGGGAGCTCCTAGTCTTACGGAGATAGGGTAGGGCTAACACAGGACTACTTTGGTCAAAGCCAATGGGAATAAAATGTCATACAACTGGGGATATTCAGAGGACACAGTTAATGACCTGAAAACCAAATGCTTCTGTTAACCAGCCAGCCAAGAAATCAAGGGCTATAGGAAGAGATGGGTTAATCCCGATGAGCATTGAGGCAACCAGTGATAGCTTACTCTTCCCCCAAAATCTGACTTAGAGACAAAATGAGAGTCAAAAAGATTAACTTGCCAGTAATACCTATTGAGTTCCTCATTATTTGGTGGGGTTCGGGGGAGGGCTAATTGGACTTTTGTCATTTATTTGTTTATTGAGACTTCATGAAGAATGGAAAACTAATAGCAGCTGGAGAGATGGTTCAGTGGGTAAAATGCTTGCTGTACAAGTATGGAAACCTGAGTTCAGTCCCCTGCACCCACATTAAAAAAAAAGAAAAAAAAATCCGGCCGGGCAGTGGAGAGGGCTCTTCAGGGGTCCCAGGTTCAATTCCCAGCACCCACATGACAGCTCACAACTGTCTGTACCTCCAGTTCCAGAGGATCTTGCACCTTCACAGACATACGTGGAGGAAAAACACAATGCTCTTTAAAAAATAAATAAATCAGGCACAACTCAACACACCTTTAATCCCAGCATTCAGGAAGTAGAGACAGGTGTAGCTCCATGAGTTTGGGGCTAGCCTGGTCTACATAGCGAGTTCCAAGACAGCCCATACATAGTGAAACCCTGTTTCAAAAGAAAAAAAACCTGAGCTATGGTACGTACAACTAATCCCAGTGCTAGGGTTGCAAAGACAAAAAGATCCCTGGGCTTTGCTTGTAGCCAGTCTATCCAATTCAGTGCTCTACAGGTTAAGGGAGAGACAGTATCTTAAAAAGAAAGAAGTTGTATCGCATCAACAATGCAACAGTAATACTATATGCTAGCTGAGTGTTCCTACAGGCATTATAGTAAACTTTAGCGTGAGCTCCTTTTTGAGTTTCTCCTACTGTGTAAATGGGTTACCCTCATTCAATAGATAAACTGAGATGATTTTGAATGAATTCCTGCAGGCTGGCATGGGTTAAGACCCTATGTCAAATACCAAACAAAAATATTGTTGTATTTCCCTGTGTCATACTTAACAGGACTTCATTTACCTGTAAGCTGGCACAGTACTTATTACACAAACCGGATGACCTGGTCTGATCCCCAGATCCCACAATAGGAGAGAACCTCCACATATGTACCATGTTGTCCACATGTACACCCACATTCACACCTGTACATGTACACCATAATATAATAACGAAATGATGAAATTTTTGTCTAATGCTTGCATTTGTTTGACTAAGAACCCTTTAGGTTGTTTTCTTTTGATACAGGGTCTCGCGTAGCTCAGGCTAACCTCACATTCATTTCACTCCTCCTCTCACATGCTCTTATCATAGGGATGTGCCAAAACTGGCTAAGTACTGAGATACTAGTTACCTAGGTTGGTCTGCGTTCCCTTGGGCTGAAGCAGTCCTCTGCCTCAGTCTCCCCAGCAGCTTGCCCACATAGACACGTGGCTACCTTCTCTGGCACTCATCTAGTTCTCTCATTCCTATAAAAGCCCAGATTTCAGGAATTATCTCCTTGCAGTTGGACATTGACCTGAGACTTCCCTAAGACTGAACTTGCCTATCCTTATAACTTTCTTTTCTCCCTAGCTCAGTCCCTTACTATTTACCTCACCTTTCCTCTCTTCCTCATTCCCTGGGTCCCAGGCCCTGACTCTCACTCTCAGGAATATATTTGACAGCTGTAATTTTCCTCTCCACTCACTTGTTCCGCTCTGGTGTCACCCTAGTTTGTGCTGAGTCTTTTGGAAACTTTGTTGCAGCTTACTTAGTCATAATGTACCTGTGGCCTCTTACTTCTCTGCCCCCATTAAAACTGGAAAGGCCTTACACTGAACCTGAGTTTTCTTTTTCCTGCATCCCTGAGCACATCCTTTAATGTAAACCCTTCAGATCTATCTTTGCAGAGCCTCTGCCAGCAGCCTAATGCTTTCTGTCTTCTGTGTATTGAACATATGTTCTGTTGCCAAGGTTAAAAATTTGGTTGTTCTGTTTCCCATCTAAACCAGAGGCTCTGCAAGATAATTGTGTTATCTACATTACTGTCAGGTACCTTAAGCATAGTAAGCAATAGTACTTATTTGATAACTTTGTTTTAGATTTGTTTATTTTATTGTATGTGTGTGAATGTTTGCTTGTATATATGTGTACCACATATGTGCCAGAGTGCCCACAGATGTCAAAAGAGGGCATGGGGTCCTCTGGAGTTTCGGTGGTTGTGAGCCACCATGATGGAAATCAAACTCAGATTTTTGCAACAGTAACAAGTATTCCAAACCACTGAGCTATTGCTCTAGCCTTATTGATTATTTTTAAAATCAATGTTGGTGTCAAGGCACAAGCAGTGCATTATTTTCTAGTTTTGTTTTGTTTTGCTTTTCATGGTAGTCAGTGAACATTGAGTGAGTACTCCAATTCTATTTGTGTTAGCAGTCTAATAACCCTGTCTATTATCTTGACCTCCTTAGGAATACTTTCTCCATGAATTTATCTTCTCTTTTCAGTTGTATTTACCCATGAAAGTAGTAGGAGATTAGTTACCTTATTAAATCTTGGTTGGTTCAAAGTCATTTTAAAATTTCATATTCAGCATGCTCTAAGAACAATTATTTTCATACTGGTCCCCCCCCCTTTCTTTTTTTCCTGACACACAGGGTTTCTCTGTGTGGCCCTGGCTGTCCTGGCATTCACTCTATAGACCAAGCTGGCTTCGAATTCACTGAAATCCACCTGCCTCTGCCTCCCTGTTGCTGGGATTAAAGGCATTTACTACCACTGCTCAGCTCATACTGCTCCTCTTAAAATATATGCTTCCTGTCGGGTGGTGGTGGCACATGTCTTTAATCCCAGCACTCGGGAGGCAGAGGCAGGCGGATCTCTGTGATTTCGAGACCAGCCTGGTCTACAAGAGCCACAGAGAAACCCTGTCTCGAAAAACAAATATATATATGCTTCCTTCTACTTTTCAATGTTTTGAAACAGTTATAGAATATATATGTGTGTGTGTGTGTGTGTGTGTGCAGATAAAATTTGTGTCTATTTGTGGGCAAATGCCCATGTAACCTGATGCTTACTGACTTTTCTCTTTTCACAGCAAAGTTCCCTGATTACAAATCCACGTGGTCCCCAGATCCCATAGGACACAACCCCACTCATCTCTCCAACAAGATGTGGAAAAACCACATCTCCTCCAGGAACACTACACCGCTGCCCCGCCCACCTCCTGGCCTGACCAACCCCAAACCGGCATCTCCCTGGAGCAGCACAGCACCCAGATCAGTCAGGGGGTGGGGGACACAGGACTCTCGGATTGCCTCGGGTGAGAAGGATCTGCTAAGCAGGAATAGCTGTTTAGCACTATGGGGAGGGCTGACCATGGAGGAGAGCATGGTTGTCTGGTAGAAGAAAAACTATCTTTTGATTGAAAAGTTGCAATCAGTACAGATGAAGGGACCCAGAACCTCTATAGGGTACTTGAAGTACAAATGAGCAACTGTAGAGGGGGAGGACAGTGGGAGGGAATACTATCTCACAAAAAGCAAATGAATTTACTGGGATCAAGGACTAGAAGAGACCATGAAGGTCAGTGCTAGACAGACAGACAGACAGACGGTCTGAATGAAAATGTTCCCCTTTATAGTTCCCTGAGAATGTTGGTGATTCGGGTGTTCTTTTTGTTTTGTTTTTCTCACTCTTCCTCATCCTTTTTCTGTTGTTTGCAGCCTCTACCTGGAGTGATGGTGGCTCTGTCCGTGCTAGTTACTGGCTGGTTCTTCACAATCTCACTCCACAGGTAACCTTATTTTCTTGTGCTTTTCTAGATAAGGCTTGATTTTATTTAAAGAAAGAGAAACTGGGCATTGTGGCACACACCTTTAGTCCCCAGCACTTGGGAGGCAGACGCACGGAGATGTCTGTGAGTTCAAGGCCAGCCTGGTCTACATAGCAAGTTCTAGGGGTACATGGAACTTTTGTCTCACAAAAAAGGGAAGAAACAGTAGAGGAGCTTGGCAGATACTAAAGCTTATTTATGAGACTAGAGAGATGGCTCATGGCTTAACAGATGACTGTTAAGAAAGCTTGCTGGTTATGCGGAACACCCAGTTTTATTCCCAGCACCCACATCAGATGCCTGTAACTCCAGATGTAGGAGGTCTGATGCCTTCTTCTAGCCTATAAAGAAAGCAAATTTATTTCATGGCCACTGCAGAGGTCCTTTCAACAAGATGGGTGCTGGCTCCTAGGCCTCACCCTCACCCTTACCCTCACCCTCCTGGTGCTAGAGGTGAGCAGGCGCTATGAAGCAGTGAGAATGAGGTCGTATGACCTACTGGTCAGGAAATGTGTTGTATAGATATGCCACTTGGATGGTATGTTTTAACCACATACAAAAACTTGTTACCAGAAAGGACTTGGAAGATGGCCAAGCTGGTAAAGTTCCAGTTGGAAATTTCTTAGGCCTTTTAACATCCTAGTGTCTAATAGGATTCTCTATGGAGAAATGCATTTCTGTTTTGTTTTTTTTTTAAATGAACACTCTAAGATCTTTTTATTTATTTATTATGTATACAACATTCTGCTTCCATTTATATCTGCACACCAGATATAAGGGAAGGTGGATCTCTGTGAGTTCGAGGCCAGCCTGGTCTATAGATATAGCAAGTTCCAGGACAACCTCCAAAGCAATACAGAGAAACCCTGTCTCAAAAAAAAGGGGGGGGGATTAGAGCTGCCTAGTAAAGATACTAATGTCACTCCTAGTTTAAAGTGGTTAGTAGAGCAAAGTTGATGCATGGGGCAGTTGACTTTCCATCACCAAAAATGTGTTTAAAGGAAATCTGTCTCCTGAAAAGCAATTTGTGCCAATTGCTGACGTACTTATGATTATTTTCTGTGAAGAGCTAACATGAACTGCTGAGTTTTATTCTTCAGACTTCCCACTGGTGCTGAAAATGGAACTTAGGACCTTATGTATGTTAGGCCACTGTTCTACCACATTACACAGCTTTTTAAGGCATTCCCAATTGTAACATTCCTTTTCCAATACAGTGAACTGAAGTGTTGGAATTAAGGCTTAAATAAATATATTTAAGATCTTGTTGAAAATTAATCCATAGAGTAAATAGGTTTGTTCATAAAACTCCTGTGTTGGAAAAATTATCCATAATCCCTTCAGCCCTTGGTCAAATGGACTTAGTCAAAAAGGAGTTCCCCTCTTTATATGGTCAGAGGAATGTAATAGTATTGGAGTGAATTGTTTTTGGACTAGGCCAGTTTTAACTGTCAGTACTTTTCTTGTCTGTCTCTGTGAGATTATTTATTGAGGAGGCAGAAAAAATAAAGTGTTAGTAATGATGTTGATAACTTTGCATGGTATCTTTAATTCTCATTTCTGTCCTTTTGAGCTCTACAAATCAGCACACACGTGTTTGTTGATCTCTTTTAAAAATGAGGCTTATGTTTTATGGCACTTATGTTTTTATTTTTAGTTATTTTTATATAGAAACATTACAAAATAGGAATAATGGGTCTTAGCGTCGTTCTTTAATTGTCCTAGAATTAATTTCCCATGCCTCTTCTACATCTTAGCTCACAAGTGTTGTTATCTCTTAGATTGATGGGTCAACCTTGAGAACGATCTGCATGCAGCATGGTCCACTGCTGACATTCCATCTGAATCTAACCCAGGGCACTGCCCTGATCCGGTACAGCACCAAACAAGAGGCAGCCAAGGCCCAGACTGCATTGCACATGTGAGTACTGTATCCTGCAGACGCATGATGCACACAGGAGTGTTCTGGCCCTGAACAATGACAAACATGCACAAAAGAACCTCAGTCATGGCCAGGCATTGGTGGCGCAAACTTTAATCCCAGCACTCAGGAGGCAGAGGCAGGCGGATCTCTCTGAGTTCGAGGCCAGCCTGGTTTCCAGAGCGAGTGCCGGGATAGGCTCTAAAGCTACACAGAGAAACCCTGTCTCAAAAAACCAAAATAAAAGAAGAACCTCAGTCATGTATACATGCAAATACTAAGGTGTGCCAGTCTTTCTACCTAACTCTGTTTGCATTGTCTAACGTATGTCATAGGCTCATAATCAGAACTTCAAATGTAAATAATTTGTACAGTAAATAGATTGTACCACAAACAAAAACAATGTTTATGAAAATGCAAAACATCCCAAATGCTATTATTTTTCATGGTAGAATCTAGCTGCTTACTGTGGTAACATGTAGATAAGTAATTTTATTTGTTTTTTTGTTTGGGGTGGGTGGGTGGGTTGGTTGGTTGGTTGGTTTTGGTTTTTCAATACAGGGTTTCCCTGTGTAGCCCTGATTTTCCTGGAACTCACTCTGTGGCTGACCTACAAATCATAATCCACCTGCCTCTGCCTCCGGAGTACTGGGGTTAGAGTCATGTGCCACCACTATCTGAACTACCTGGCCTTCTTTGACTCTTTGTTGTTGTTTTGGTTTTGTGGTTTTTGCTCTTGTTTTGTTTTTCAAGACAGAGTTTCTCTGTGTTGCTTTGGAGCCTGTCCTGGAACTCACTTTGTAGACCAGGCTGGCTTTAAACTCATAGAGATCCTCCTACCTCTGCCTCTCAAGTACCAGGACTAAAAGCATGTGCTACCAACACCCAGCTTTGTTTGACATCTTGAGACAGGGTTTCTCTGTGTAGCCCTGGGCTATCCTGAACCTCACTGTGGAAACCAGGCTGGCCTTAAACTCATAGAGATCTGCCTCTTCTGCCTCCCAAGTGCTGGGGTTAAAGGTGTATGCCACCACACCCAGCCCAAAGAAGAAATTATATGTAACGGGGTTTTGCATGAAGTGGACAGGAGTGGATCAGACTCTGACTATCCTCTTTCCCTGGTGAACAGAAAAATGTTGACTCCATTGGGCCACAGACACCATGACAAAAATCCACAGAGAACACAAACAAGTGATAGTCAAGCCCCAGCAGCAAGTCCTTCCCCTGGGATGGAAATGGTGCTCTAGGTGTTGGCACTGGCTTACCTGATATTAGTGGATGTCCTTCTTTATCTCACATGGAGCAAACAAAACAAAACAAAAGAAACCTGACAATCTTCTTGCTTTTGAAGACTTGGGATTTTTTTAAAATACTTTAGATTCACAGCAAAATTGAGAGGATGGGACAACTTCCCATAATAACCCTGACCCACTCCCTCAATAATACCTTATCAATATCACTCACTAGAATGGCCCATTTGCTACAGTTTATGAACATTCATTGGTAACTAATCCACCAAAGTCCACAGTTTACATTAGGGTTATGGTTACATTCTGGATCACTGTTGGTGGTTGATGTGAACAAATATATGTTGATAGATCCAATATCACATCATTGTGTCGTTCAGGTTAGTGCCATTGCCCAAAATATCCTCTGTGCTCTATATTTACTCTGTGTCTCTTATCTCTGTCTCCGACACACACACACACACACACGCACGCAACCAACCATACAGATGGACTGGAAATGTAGCTTAGTTCTTGCTTAGCATACATAAATCCCTAGGATCAGTCTCCAATACTGCACAAACCAAGCATAATGGCACACACCTGTAAATTTCAGCACTTGGAAGGTAGAAGCAGAAGGCCAGCCTGGGCTATGTGAGACCCCCACCTCAGTCAATCAATTAGCAAGCAAACACAGTGGCAAAGGGCTGACAGCATTGACCCCTCCCGTGCTTGTCATCTTTTAGGTCACCTTGCTCTCTTCTTCCTCCTCCAGGTGTGTGTTGGGAAACACTACCATCCTGGCCGAGTTTGCCACTGAGGATGAAGTCAGCCGCTTTCTGGCTCAAGCTCAGCCCCCTACACCTGCAGCAACCCCAAGCGCACCTGCCACAGGATGGCAGTCACTGGAGACCAGCCAGAACCAGGCAGACCCTGTTGGACCTGCGCTGAACCTTTTTGGTGGGTCCACCGGGCTCGGGCAGTGGAGCAGCAGCGCTGGTGGCAGCAGTGGGGCCGATCTTGCTGGCACTTCCTTGTGGGGCCCCCCAAACTATTCTTCTAGCTTGTGGGGAGTCTCAACAGTGGAAGATCCCCATAGGATGGGCAGCCCTGCTCCTTTACTACCTGGTGACCTTCTGGGAGGAGGGTCGGATTCAATCTGAACTTAGAACTTTCAACTCTGACCTCGTGACCTTTTTTGGAACAGCAGCAGCACTAACTTGACCTTTTCGTTTTTTTTTTCAACTTGCAATAAATACATTTTTAAAAGGAAAAAAGAAAACGGAGAGAGAAAAAAAGGTGGGTCATTGACAGACTGTCTGAGCACATAGTTGCCTCCCTTAAAACTTCAGTTTTTTCGTTTGGAATATGAATCCAAAAAGAGAACATATCACTCTTGAAATACTTGAATCATGAACGCCAACCTAGAAAGACAATGTGAAGCAAGTACACATACCATTTAAATTTAAACACAAAAAAATTAAAAAAATTAGTTTCTAGTTTTTCACTTTTTTCATGTTATATGGAAGTTGTTGCTAAGAAACATATATACTGAAAAAATAGCTTTTTAACTTTGTTTGCACTGGGTGTGTTTCCGTCCTTAGGTCTACCATGTTTGGGTGGGGGGAAATTCAAAAGAATTGTTGGGGGAGGGGGGAGGGAAGACTTGACGGAGCCTCACTTTAAAAACAAAAACAAAAAAAATCTTCAAAAAAAAAAAAAGGAAAATTTTTGTGATTGGCTGGTTGATAAATACCAGTGTGTTCTGGCACATGTAACTGCCCAGGCATGCTCGTTCTGGTATGTGTGTGCACGTGTGTTCATGTGCATTTGTGTGCATCCTCCTCTCTGTCTCTGTGTGTGCCTGCGTCCTCCCTCTTCATCTCACCCCACCCTGATTTCTCAGAAAGCTGCATTGCTGACAGTTCGCAGGCTGGCAGGCCGGCCATCTGCTTTTTATTTTTTTAGCTATGAGAACACAGGAGCACAGGGAGCTGCTGCAACTCAAGCCACTTCTTCGGGCTGCATTGAGATGAAGGGTGCTTTTCAATGATTAGAGCAGTAGCCAGAATGTGAGGTTCCCCGGCTTTCTCTTGACCTAGCAGCAGAGCAAAGCACTGCCAAGTCCAGCAGTTGAGGTGGAGGTACCTCTTAGAGCACCTGTTGCTCACTTCTGTGCTGTGAAATGAGCTGCCCCTGGGCACCCAAGAGCTGTTAAGTCCCGAGCAGGCCTTTTTGTTACTTTGAATGGGAACAGAAGATTCAGTAATTTTTAAATCATGTGATGCTTCAAAAGCAGAAACTGTGTTCCCACTTCTATGTAATCAGGTGTGAGGACTTTTTTAAAAGGAATCAGGTAATGCAAATTAAATATTCTTATTGTTTCTCATTATCATTTGAGGAAAACAGCAAATTGTGAGCAGCCTCCTGGAAGCATCGCAGCTCCTCCCTCTCTGCTCCTCTCTCGCTGAGCATTACCTGTGCCAGGCCATGGCGTGTTACAGCACCAGGCCATCACTGACAGAAACGTTTACTTAACGAATGTTCTTAAACCAGTGTGTACTTCAGGCTTCTCCCTTTGTTTCTCTGTGTTGTGTTTCCTGTGTATGTGGTTTTGCTTAGGCAGAAATAACTTAGCAAAGACTTAAGTATTGCACCTTGTTTTGGTTTTGACCTCTTTTTCTTCCTTGTAATGTTGGGGGGTTTGTTTTTTGTTGTTGTTGTTGTTGTTTTTTGGTATTTAAAGACTTTTTTTAAAAAAGCATCAATGTAGTAGTTCTCTGGGCCGAACAGGAGGCAATGTTTAATCCATAGTTATCAACAACATGTATGTACTTACTATGTTGGAATCAAAATATATCAAACTGCTTATTGTGAAGAGAGTGAAAGCAAACCTGAAGGGGAACCCTAACATACAAAATAGATGGGGGGGGTGGGGGAGATGTGTGCGGGTAACATGCTAGCACTTGTGTGGATATCCCAGTCTGCATCGTACTGTTTGTTCAACATGAAGTGCCGACATTCTGTACCAGCAATTACCTGCCCATTCCAACCCCTGGTGGGAGCAGACCTCTGCTGTCCTCTGTGACTTGCTGCTATTGAGGACAAGGGAGTTTTTCTTTCTTTAGCATCTTCAGTGAAGGATACAACAATGCCTAATGTATTTGACTTTCAGCCTGTCTCTTTGTGTAGGTGGGTATGGGGGTTGTGGATAGGAAAATGAAAAACAACAAAAAAACAAACAAAACCAAAATTGCATGTAAGTGGCTTTGTGAGACAATGAGTGGGAAGTTCTGTAGTCTTCTTAGCTTACCCTATTGAATATAAACCTGGCTTCAGAAGAGGTTGACAGGCTTGGTTCCTGTGGGCACTTGTGCTTGCCAGTCTGGGAGCCCTTGGCAAGTGGGTAGGCAAATGAGTTTGCAGTTCTGGTTTGTTCCTACAACACCTTGTTCACATGGACTCAGCCTTCCTCCTGCTCTCTGGTTTCCATCACCACCATCCCCCTCCCACCTCTGCCCCTACAAAATGTCTCCTTCCAGCCCTGCTGACTCTCAGTGTTTGAGCAGAGCTGTGTTGTGGGTGGTGATGTCCAAGTGAAAGCAGCTTATATTCAGACATCTGCGGACTAAAGGCTAAATCTTAGTGTCTCCAGACTCCTGGGAGCTTATGGAGACTGTCCACTGCCGCTCTTGGTTCATAGCCTTGCCTGCCCTCTTCTCCTCCTTCCCCTCCTCCTCTTTCTGCCTGTTGGGTCCTTGACCTGCACTATGGCTTAGTTGAGTTCCTTACGATACTACGGTGAAAGCCGGGTGCTAGAGCCCCTCTTGTTTACAAGACATAATGAGGGATTTGAAATATGTAAAAATAAACACGAGAAGCTAAACTGTTCTTCCATCATAAGCGTAAAGGGAAAAAAAACTAAAAAACTTTAAAAAAAAAAGACCAAAAAGAAGACTAACTCTGGGAGCATTTAACAGTGTTTTTGTTTTTAACATTTATTTTCCTGCTTTAAAATTTGCAAGCATTCTCAGGAATTCTAGGGTAGGCAGCCAGTTTTTTGAAGATGGTTTATTTAAACGTATCTTATCCTAGATAGACAGCCGTTTCTTTCCCGTTAGTAAACTTTTACAAGTTCCTGAAACTTCAAAAAGTTTAAACAATTTTTACTTACAAAAATGTAAAAAGTCTCCGAATGTTATCATACAGGGGAGTTACACATTTTAAGATGCATAGAAATGTTTTTTAAAAATTTAGCAGCAACAAGTAAATTCATTATCTTAACAACAGTCGGAGAAGGATTAAGTTTTGTGAGCGCTGTCAACGGCCTCACTGAATAGGGTAGTATTTGGTGTACATGAGTAGGATTGCCACCACACTGTTAGCTTCTGTATAAGGCTAGGCTGGCATCTCCCCAGTCATGTTTATGTTCTCTGATGCAGCCCTTCTCCCTGTCTCTCCAGCCCCATCAACAAAAGAAAGGAATAAAGAAAGAAACAATAATTTAAGGAAAAAAATTGGCTCTAAACTGTATAAGTAGTATGGTTGTTGGATTGCTGAGAATCTATGTAAAGAGTTAGGAAATATTTTAAACAAATCTTAAATAGAAGCATTACTAAAAGAAAATTACCTATGGACTGTTCTGTTCATGAAGACTGTCTGTTTCACCTCCATCTGTTACAGGAGGAGGAAACAGAAGAATCTAATAAGGAACAAGTGGTTTTGCTTTTTTTTTTTTTTTTTTTTTAGCTCCCAGCTACTGTTGTGCTTGTTTTAAATGCTATTTTGAAGATCTGCTGCTTACTGTCCCCATCCTGGGTGGTGGAGATGTGGAGTGTTTCCTTTCGATTTTGGTGATACTGAGGTCTCCTTTTGTATTCCCTCCTGGGGCCAAAGGTCATGGCCACAGCTTCTTTTCAAACTTTAAGCTTCCCAGTGGGAAAGAAACTCCAGCTCCACAGGTAAAGTGAGTGGGTGGGGTTGCTACCTGCATTCTCTGAAACCGCTTTAGTGCCTTCGTACATACACCCAGACATCCTGAGCAGGGGACGAATGTGTATGTGCATGTGGTCCAGCCACTCCACAGTTAGTAAGATGCTTGCTTATAAAGGAAATCAGAGTGGTTCTGGACAGGCCCCACAGGCAGTGGGCTAAATCAAAATAAACAAAAATTGAAGTTAAATACCTTTTTTTTTTCTTTTTGTCTGATAATGTGGGATGCCAAGTTCTTTCCTGTGTTGTGTGCCCTCCATAGGTGCTGACTTTTCCATGTGTAGAGAAGGGTGACAGTTACAGTGACCGGGAAAGTCTTTTTGTGCTGGGCCAGTGGAAGAAGGCTCCTGCTTCTCAGCTTCTGTTTTCCTCTGTCTTTTCCCTGCCCCTCCCCTTCTTCCATTTGTCACCTTTCTGGAAGCTTTTGTTACTGATTGGCAATGACCCAAGAAGAGAGGATGTGGTGAGAGTGTCTGGAAGGTGGAAAGCCCTTCCTTTCCCATGGTATTTATTCTTTAGTAAGAACCCTGTCTACCAAGACATTGGGCAACTTCATTATACATGGAAAAATTCAGTGAGCATACCCTTCCAGCACGTTCTGACATACATACAGAGGCTTGCTAGTCACCACCGTATAGATTAGTTTGTGCTTATAAGTGTGAGCTTTCTGTTTTATACTAGGTGTTCCTTGTGGGCTTTTTGTTTGTTTTGTTTTGCTGTAAACAACTCCTTGTTTTGTTTTTCCAGAGTTTCTCTGTGTAGCCCTGGCTGTCCTGGATCTTGCTCTATAGACCAGGCTGGCCTCAAACTCACAGAGATCAACCTTTTAAATTCTTGCTTAGTGGTAGACAGACTTATATATGTCTCATGAGCATCACAGACTTGTTTCTGTCTACCATATGAGTAGCCAAAAGAAAAGCACAAGTGGGGGAAAGAGCTGTCTTCCATCACTCGGGAGAACCTCTGCTGCTGATGAGACCCAGTGCCATGACCCCATTTAAGGGTTGAGAAACACACAGGTCTCTGATACACTGGTTAAAAACACAACAACAACAACAAACAAACAAAAACCAGTAGCCCATATAGCATCTCTTGGTCTCAGCCCTTAATCCTTGAACTTATTTCCAATTTGTAACATTCATAGGAATGAACTTAGCAGTATAGCAGTGCTGGTCCACAAACAACAAAGACTCCACATTGTATGTCTACCCTTGGTGTCCCTAGTGAAACATGGCCTGTGTATTGCCATTCAGTTAGTACCACCAACAGGGTTTTGTATCGAAATGGCTTGTGGTCTAAGAATTTTCCCACTTCTGTTATGAATGTAGCGTGTTCAAAATTGAATGTGATGTGAAAGATAATACTTAAGAGGGGGAGAAAGAAAGGGAGAGGAATTTTTCTGCAAAGAATTTGGAAGGGTTCTAGTAGTGTACCTACCAGAAACTGAACATTAACTTACTGCAAACACTTCATTCTCTTCTTGTAGTTTGGTGCTGGGGATGAAACCCAGGACTTTGCCGTGCTAGGCAAGCATGCTCTCTATGCCTGAGCCACATAATTCCTCTAGCCCTATACTATCACTGTTATCCTTTTCTTAGAAGGGGTGTGATTTTTGTAGGGTTAATAGCCAGACTCTATTTCGCTGACCTCAGATGCTATGTACTTAAATAAATTTCTCATATTCTGCCATTTTGACACTTAAGTGTGTCTATGCTGAGCAAAATGTGTACAGCAAGCCTGCTTTCCAGTCAGTGTCCATGTGACATTTTCATCAAGCTTGGTTACATCAGCCATCTCTAAGATTGAGGCACAGTTGAGTATAGAGAAGGTCCCATTCTTCCATAACCTGAGTTAAAATATGGCATAGTATCGCTTTGGATTAGTATTTTTTATTCTGACTAAAGGTCTTCAACTAGGAGCAGAGACATTCTTTCTTAGCTGTGGGTTTGTTTTTTTTTTTGTTTTTTTTTTGTTTTGCATTGTTTTGTGTTTGTTTGTTTTGTTTTAAGAAACTATTCTGCAGTATTTTGTTTTGTTTTGTTTTGCATTGTTTTGTTTTGTGTTTGTTTGTTTTGTTTTAAGAAACTATTCTGCAGTATTTTTGCCAGGTTTTGTCACAGTCCATGTCAGTGCATTAACTATACTTCTTAATGTCACTGCAAAGAAAAACCTTATTCTATGATCATGTCTGTCTTCTGTGAGTGCAGCTAGGATTATTCTAGACTGTGTGCAAGTGACTGTCCATCTTTAGATTCCAGTGGCCATGCAGAGCCCTTTTGCTCTTTATCTACAAGGACAGGGCTATTGAAGACATCATCAGTCTTTAAGAAAAACAAGAATGTCCCCAAAGTTTGTATACTCCCTATAATAATGCCCTATGGCTTACAGCCAGTGCCAAAGGTATGCTTTATCAATAGAGGTGATTCCATTCATCAACAATAGTGTTTTTATTCTCCATCTTAAATTTGACAGAGGGGTAGCCATACCACATTCTTTAGATTTGAAATCATCAACTCCAAGAATCTAAAAATATAGTAACAATAAAAAGTTAATAGTGGTCCTGGCTTGGTGGCACACACCTTTAATCCCAGTACTTGAGAGGCAGAGCCAAGTGGATCTCTGTGAGTTCAAGGCCAGCCTGGTCTACATAGCAAGAGAGCCTCTGTTTCATAAACCAAAACCTGAACCAAAATCAGTCGTCGAAAAACTGCCAACAATCCCCACACACACACACACTGCCAAAGGCGGACATGAAAAAGATACAAGATGATCAAAGAGAGGTACTAGTCAGTGGAGTGCTAGGTTCTGCCAGCTCAGCATCCATTCTGTCCCTCGTGTGTATGGCCACCTGACTGGGTCCTGAGCAGTCAATTATTTCCATCAATTAAATGGTTTTTAAGATAGTAGCAAAGTGACAGAAATGTTTTTTGCCTCTTGGAATTTAAATACCTCTTTCTGGTCAGGTGTGCATGGATTTGTTTTCAACAAGAAGTGGCCCATGCCAGGAAATGGAGAGGCTCTGCAGAGCTGAGCGTTGTTCCTGGTGGTGACAGATTTACCTTTCCATGGGAGGGGACAGGCCAGGTACACTTTCATAAGCAAGAAGTGTCCTATTTTAAATAAAAAAGAAACAGTGTTTCCCTAGATCGATATGTGCCTCTACTTAGTTTTTACTTCTTTGGAAATAAACTTCCAATTTGACCCATTTCCAGCCAGTACCAGTAAATTGGGATGACTTCTTCAAAAAGGGAAACCATTCCTTCCTGCATTTCTCTTTCTTCTCCCTGGCTCCCTGGACCTTCTGGTGGGTCATTCAGTTCTTGGGCCACCGGAAGGGTACTCTCCCCACTCCTGGGGGCTGTAATGGGACTAGAGGCAGATGGAGCAGCCTTACTTTATGTGACTGGCCTTACAGCAGGAAAAGGTGGTAGATGCTGAATGTGTATGCCAAAAACAAAGGTGTGTGTGGTGGTGGTGGTGGGGTGTTCTTTATGCAAAACAAACCCTTGGGAATCTTTCAAGAAGTCACATACCTTGTAAAGGGAGGATGGTCACTCACCAAGTGATAGGTTTTAGCTTGAAACTTCTTTTTGCCATAAGTTTGGGGTTATGTTACAATAGTTGTGTTTAAAACACTACCCCCTTTAAATTTTTTCCAAGGATTTAGTAAGTGTAGTATTTCTGAATGTGCCTTTGTCAGTCCAGAGACCAACTGTGGTCTGTCAGAGTCTCCTGGCAGCCCCCAGACAGCTGTTGGATTTTCATGAGCGCCCATTTTGCATAGTGTGGTTGTGCTGAAGCGATTCTGGGTCTCAGGCCCAGAGGTTATGAGCAAAGCCCAGGCTAGTCCAGTGCAGGTCAGCTGTGTACTTCTGCATTCTCTAGTTGCATGTGTGAGTGAGTGTGTGTGTGTTTCTGTAAGCACTGGAGCAATTGGGATGCAGTGATTTTGGTGATCTGTTCATGCATGTAGAGAAGGCCTTTCTGGCTTTACGCTGCAGAAGGTGGATTTTTCACCCTCTCTGCCTTAGGAGGCCCTGGTTTTCCCAAATGCAAGTCACAGCAATGTTGCTATTTATGTGAACAGGGTATTTATTGCACACAAAGAAAAAGGTTTTGAAAGAATCAAGACCAGTGTTTAAAAAAGAAAACAAACTCTGAAATCATATTGTAATTATTGAGAACTGTTGTAGTTAAACCAAGAAATCTGTAGTCTCTTGTGTTTTTCAATGACCCCACCTCTCCCACTCCCTATCTTCTAAAGAAGGACCCTGCTCCACCATCCTCAGAGCTCCCCCACAGAAGAAAGCAGTCTCCTAGGTTCCCTTAGCTTCATTCAGGAAGACAAAGGGAGGCTTTACTCACTCCTGGTTGCCTTGGGATGTATTCTTATGCAAATGTGAATTTAACAAGAGGTTGTTGGGTTTGTTTTTGTGGGGATTTTTGTTTTTTCAACCACAAAAAAAGGTCCTTATGTGGTCATCCTTTCATCCTTGCTCCATTTTGTAACATGAATTTGTAACTATGCATTTTCTGAAAAGGGGAAAGAGGGGGAAAGAAGTCAATTTGCATCTTTATATTTTCCAGTTTCTGTGTCCATGGTCCACGTCTGAGAAAGGAAGAGGAGGGGAAGCTCAACAGGTCAGCATAGTGAGGGCAAAAGGGACCTCCCAGATCCCGCCCTCTGGCAGGTCTAATTTCGAAGCAAATTGGGGGGGGGGGGAGTCTGCCATGCCTGTCCATCATTATGGTGCAGGATTCTTGATACTGGCCATGCAGTGTTAACCCAGGGCAGCCATGGAAGCTCACAGGCTCAAGTATTCTCTGAACTCAGAACCCTTTCAAGCTCAGGAAACCATGCCGCACTCTGCTGACCTGAGAGTTCATCTTTACATCATTTTGAAAACTCCTCTTTTGCATTTCTTTGTTGTCAATCATTGCGAAGGGAACCATTCCTAGTTCTGAGCTGAGAAAGAGGGCTGTTGCCTGCTGTTGATTGACAAAAGCAAAAAAAAAAAAAAAAAAAAAAAAAAAAAAAAGGCTTCCCTTCCCTGTCTTTTATCGCTGATCTCTGCTTCCCTCACCTGTACTGAGCTGGTGGTGCAGTGAGTTGTGGAGCACTGGAAGGCCTTTGTACTTCCTCTTCTTTGTTCTGACAATTCCTTTGTGGAGTGGGACTATGCATTACCCTGGTCTAGGCATTATTACAACACATAGTAGCAGAAGTGAGAGACGTTCAGCCTGTATCCAGTGTTTCCCACACAGCAATCTCTGTTATGTTCACAGTACTGTAATGAGTGACAGACTTGATCACAGTCTTTTTGTGTCTGTGCGAGGTTACACAGGCATGATCTTATCAGGGTTCCAAATCTGCTCAATTGCCTTTAAACAAAGCAAAACAACAAGAAAATCCTGATGTTTCAAGTGTCTGACGCAAAATGATACCTCAAGGTACATTTGCCCTGCAATGTAAACCCTTCGCTCCTCTCCTTTCTTGACATCAGTGAGCTATTCTTTATAAAATAAGCATGTTTAAATAACCGGATAAGTCTTTGAAACATTTTCTTTGCTGTGAAAATAACCTTAAAATATGATACTTGCATTTTAAGCCATCAGAAGTTTCAGATCTGAATTCTTTTCATGTTGAAGAAGAAAAGCAAAGCAGGTCAGTGGGGTAGAGCTTTGGGTTTGTGGTATGGCTGTTTTCTCCCAGTGTTTGTCCTCCCCACAGCACAGGACAGCAGACCACTCGCTGTGCATGCCCTACCTAGGTGCCATCTATTCTAGCACCAAGGTCCCAGGATGGAGAGTGTCTGAATTTCTCTCTTCCATATATGCTCCATCCCCTCCAGGGACTTGAAAAGGTTTTGCACCCAGGGACCTTGAGTTCTCTGCCCTTTTTTGTTCACATGCACACACTTCTTTCCCTTTAGTGTGGTTCTTAAGTTCCCCAGTGGAGTTCAGTCCCTGGTATTGCAGTCTGTCCTGTGGCTTTTTCCTGCAATGCTCTGGAAATATATTTCTTACTTAGAAGGAAACTCATCTGAGGAGACATGCAAACAACCCTGAAAACCCTGTGTATCCTCAGAGCTTCCATGTTGCTTAAAGCTGACATTCTTAGAAGAAACACAATGCTGCTTGTGAGGGCATTGACAGCTGCTGCCCTCCTAGACTTGGGCTCCCATGAGACAAGATTAGAGGACTCCTCTCTTATCCCACTTTAACTCAAACCCTATCTGCCAAGCTCTTTAAGTGCTCTCCCTGGTCTTGTTCAATGACGACTTCCTTTGAGGGAAGAATCTTGATAAAAGTGCATGGGCGTCTCCTGCCCATCTTCTGACTGGCACTGTTCACTTGGATTTTACTTCTGTAGTTTGTCTGGAGACCCTTGCCTATCAATGTGCTTCCTCTCATCGCTAGGGTTCTGCCTGCCCTTGTTTTCCTCTCTGATGTTCCCAAAGGGCTTCGCTGATGTCTGCGCCTCTTTCCTGGGATGTCCCCTTACTCCACCCTTTGTACACACCAGTGACCAAAGTGTATGCAGTGGTTTCAACACAAGACATCAAAATGGTGCAGGCACCTCTAGTGTGCTCACAGACATGTGCACAAGATTCTGCACCCTTGGCCTTAATTTCAGCACGACTTAAGGTGCAGGAACATTTTTAACAGGTTTAAAAAAAAATCTCTTCTGGGAGGGAAAATAAACCAGACCCAACCACTCAACTATCCCCACTCCCCAACTCCCCACAATCTGCTTACAACTTCTCATTCTGCATCCACCCCAGCCCTGCTCTGCGCAACCAAAATCAACAACAAAAGCAACCTGAGGTGAGGTTTCTGGACTGTTTTATCTTTCTCCCTTTAGATGGAGATACAAATGCTGCTTTGGGTTCTGTAATCCTAGGGGGCTATGTTTACATAGTGAAATTCATTCTACCAAATCAGGAAACAGTGAGTGGGAGACCCTTCAGCAAGAGGTCACTGAGGCTGAACCAGAGGTGAGAGGACCTGGGGATGTGGCAGAGGAGGAGAGAGATGTTATTTAACTCATTGTGACACCCTGTTCACTCCTTCCTCTCTGCTCTCAGTGTCCCTTTTTGCCCCTTTAATCAAAAAGGTTTAGAGAAAGGCACCAGAAGGAGGCTGAAGTTTTAAGAGGCAGCTTTCCAACCTTGCACACAAACAGAAGGTACCGCAAAAATCCTCTCATCTGAAACACTCAGCAGAAACAACCTATCAAAAGGACTAAATCGCTGCACACGTTGATGCTCTCTGCAAGTTACCTATAAGTGTTTTGTTTTCTTATACTTGAAATTGCTTTTATATTATTTTGGTGACTTTCTTTTCTTTTTACAGATGGGCAATAGAAACTGCAGGTGATAAGTTTTACAGATGTTTGAGGGGAGAAAAGGATGTGGCATTGTCTTTTTTAACCTAGAGGTTCAGTCAGACTCCCATATGGCAAAGTTGCTCATCTTACTGGTTTAACATGGACACAGAAACTAGGCACTTTGGTGGTTCACTTGCACGGCAGGCCGGCCCCCTTTCTATATTTTATTTTACTTTTTTAGTATAGTGGTACTTAAAATCACTGGTTCACTTAAAAGAAATGTTAAACTCTACTAATGTACAAATAAGCTGAAAAGTTGCATTTTATGTGTATTTTTTGCCATAGCAGGTACTGTATTTCTCATGCTGGATTTCAAAGTGTGTATATATATATATATACATATACATATATATATGTACATATATATGTATATATATATATGTATATCAAAAACAAACAAACTGAAGGGTGGTGTTTTACCGGGTTGTGGCAGGGTGAGTGATAAGGAATGAAGTCGTAGTCATTTCATTAAAACTGAGAGGTGATGTAATGCATATAGAAACGTTTTCTGAAAGGTTTTTTTTTTTTTTTATATACATATACATATATATATATGTACATATATATGTATATATATATATATGTATATCAAAAACAAACTGAAGGGTGGTGTTTTACCGGGTTGTGGCAGGGTGAGTGATAAGGAATGAAGTCGTAGTCATTTCATTAAAACTGAGAGGTGATGTAATGCATATAGAAACGTTTTCTGAAAGGTTTTTTTTTTTTTGGAGGGGGGCTTTTAAACAGCTTATTTTTTGTTTAGTTTTTATTTTATTTTGGAAAGATATGATTGTATTATGTGCAACTCAGTTGCTTACATTATAACTACAAATATTTTTGAGTTCCTGGAAAAAGAAAAAAAAAAGAAAAAAGACTAATAAATGTGTTTGGCTGCTAAGCATTTACTATTGTGGTTTCTGGATTTGTTGTGTTTAATCTGCACTGAGTCCTTCAATATCCCCCTCCCCTTCTGGTCCACACAAAAACATGCCAGAAGTCCTACGTTTTGAGTTTGAGCCTTCTTCTGAAATCCATGGTGGTCAGAAGTCATTCAAGCACTTGAGTGGGGTGAGATCCACCAAGCGGTAAAGTCCATGCTTTGTATGTGCAAGGCAGAGTTCAAAACCTAGCACTACAAGAAAGCTACCCGGAAGAACCTGTGCTTAAAAACACTTGGAATCATCTTACATACCATCCAGTTCATTCTTCATAAAGATTGTAAACATTGGCCAGGTATTATGGCTCACATCTTAATCTCAAGCAGGACTGAAAGTTGAAAGTTAGCCTGGAACTCTAGTGAAATCTTGTCTCACCAAAAGAAAAACCAAAAACCAAAAACTCAAAAACAAAAACCTGTGGATGTAGCTCAGTGATAGAGTGTGTTAGATCCCAACTTTAATCCCAACTTTCTTTTTTAAAAAATTTATTAATTTTTATTTTATATGCATTGGCGCTTTGCCATGGGTGTCAGGTCCTCTGGAATTGGAATTCCAGACAGTTGTGAGCTGCCATGTGGGTGCTGGGAATTGAACCTAGGTCCTCTGAAAGAGCAGTCAGTGCTCTTAACCCCTGAGCCTTCTCTCCAGCCCTAATCCCAACTTTCAAAACAGAAGAAAATGTATATAAACACTGGGACATGTGGGATGAAGTGCACATCTTAAGGGTCTGCCTATCCCGAGCCCACATCTTGTTTAGATTTTAGTTTGACAAATAGAGATTAGAAAAAAAAAAAAATCATGAAAATCTTCATTGCCAAAAAGGCTTTAAATTTCAACTGGCAGGCCGCGCGTTGGTGGCGCACGCCTTTAATCCCAGCACTCGGGAGGCAGAGGCAGGCTCTCTGTGAGTTCAAGACCAGCCTGGTCTACAAGAGCTAGTTCCAGGACAGGCTCCAAAGCCACAGAGAAACCCTGTCTCAAAAAACATACATACATACATACATACATACATACATACATACATAAAGTCAACAGACAGGGTGAATGTGCAAGTTGTAATCCTGATTCTTAGAAAGTGGAGACAGGAGGATGAGTTGTTCAGGGTCTTTTTTGACTATGTATAACAAGTTTGAGCAAGCCTACACTATGTGAGAGCCTCCTTTCTCACAAGTCCACAAAGAAAATCCATCATGTCTTAGGGCACTGTCACTCCTTCCTCCTGCCTCCCAGCTATACACTGGAAACTTGCTCCCAGGATCCCAGATGTGCATCTCTGACTATGGCATGGCTTCCTGTCCTCCTGGCTCCTGTTCTTTGATGGTATCCTTTGCAGAAGTTACATTCCATAATGTCAGGATCATGCTGTTTAATGTCTGTAAGCTCCACTGCTCCTCCTTTCCTGACATTCAAGCAGTTTCTGGTGGGAAAAGGGGTCAAATATGTAACCTATAAATGTACACTTAACTCCCTGCCGAAAGACCTGAACACTTCTCAAATTCCTGCATTTCTCTGATCCGTTCATTTTACCACTGCACTCCCAATTATTTACCCAAATTTGCTAAGTCCCAGCTACTCAGGAGGTTGAGGCAAGAGGATTCCTTGAGCCCAGGAGATAGACACTGGCTTGGGCAACACAGCAAAAATATCTCCCTCTCTTTGTTTTTTGTTTGTTGTTTGCTTGTTTTTTAAGACAAAACCTCATGGGGCTGGAGAGATGGCTCAGCAGTTAAGAACACTAACTGCTCTTCCAAAAAAGTCCTGAATTTATTATGTATACAGTGTTCTGTCTGCATGTGTCCTTACATGCCAGAAGAGGGCATCAGATCCCATTACGGTTGGTTGTGAGCCACCATGTGGTTGCTCGGAATTGAACTCAGGACCTCTGGAAGAGCAGTCAGTGCTCTTAACCTCTGAGCCATCTCTCCAGCCCAATAAATAAATAAATCTTAAAAAAAAAAAAAAGACAGGACCTCACTCTGCAGCCAGACTATCCTGAAATGCCTTATGTAGCTCAGGCTAGCCTCAAACACTCGGGTCCTCCTGTCTCAAGCCTCTCAAGTGCTGAGATCACAGGGATAAAACACCACACCTGGTTTTACCACTGCATTAGCCCAACTGATTTCTCATGTCCCGTCCCCTATACCCTTCTAGTTTATATGCAATAGGATATATTTCACAGTACAAATATGATAAAGTCATGTTCCAACCTTTAGTGACATCCTAATAGAATAACTAAGAAAGTTTTCACATGGCTCCCAAGTACCTGTACCCCTGCCCCCAGACTCACTACCTATCCTCTTCACACCTCAGCCTAATTCCATCTCACTGTTGAATTGCAAGGCCTCCCCTTTGTTTAGAGAAGATGGATGATCCTCATGAGTAATAGGATGCTATAGCAAATAAACAATATGTGATGATCATCCACTCTTGTGATCCCACCACGGTATAAACCTGCCTGAGGCTGAAAGGCAGAAGAATCCCCTCAGGCTTGAGGCTAGCCTGGGCTAAAGGGGCTAAAGGTAAGACCCTATCTCAAACATAGAAAAAAGTTTTTGTTTACATTTTTGTTACATTTATGCATTTGGGCTGGAGGTGTCAAAAGATGATTTTCAGGACTGTTCTCTCGACCACATAGGCTCTGGAACTTGAACTCTAGTTATCAGGAAGCCCCTTCATCCACAGAGCCATCTCTCTGGCTCAAGGTTTTTATTTTTGTTTTTTGAGAACAAGGCTGAAAAACAAGGACCTTAAATGGGAAAAATATAGGCCAGAGATGCAGATCAGTAATTAGACACCTGCCTTACATATGGGGCCTAGACTAAGGTCTAGTGAAGGAGGAGACAGTTATAAACAAAGCTGCTGCAGATGTAGGTACTTACCTAGCATACACAAAGGCAGGGGTGCTAGGAGCTCAATCTTGTAATCCTAGCAGTGGGGAAGTAGGGACAGGAGGATAGAGGTCAAAGGTCATCCTTGGCTACACAACACGTTTGAGACGAGACTAGGCTACATGAGACCCTGTCTCAATGAAAAACAGGAATAAAGATGGAATCAGAGAGATGGCTCAAGGGTCAGAAGCACTTGCTCTTACAGAGGACCTGGGTTCAATTCCCAGAACCCACATGGTAGTTCACAACTATCCCTAACTCCTGTTGCAGGGGACACAGTATCCTCTTCTGACCTCTGTAGGCATCAGGCATGCAGGTGATGCATATACATACATGCAAGCAAAACACATAAAAAATGAATAAATCAGATTTTAAAAATTTGAAGACCTGGTATTTGAATTAGGCCACAAGAAAGGCGGAGGGAGTAAAACTCCCTGGCATGCAGAGATGGCTCAACAATTGAGAACACTGGCTGCTTTTGGGGTGGTGTTGGTGTCCGCCTTTAATCCCAGCAACCAGGAGGCAGAGGCAGACAGATCTCTGTGAGTTTGAGGCCAGATGGTCCACAAAACGAGTTCCAGGGCAGCCAGAGATGTTACACAGAGAAACTCTCTGAAAAAAAAAAAAAAAAAAAAAAAAACATTGGCTGCTCTTCCAGAGGGCCTGGCTTCTATTCCCAGCACCCGCTAGTGACTCACACCCTTTTCTGGCTTCCTTGAGCACAGCATGTGCGTGGTATGTGGTGCACAGACTTACATGCAAGCATAAGACACATACACAAAATAAAAGTAAAAAGTCAAAACTAATTGAGAGATGCTGCTTCAGTGACAGCCAAATGGACAACGTATCAAGGCACCAATCAAACACAGCACTTTGGAGGTCTCGTGGACTCACAAGGTAAGCCTTCTAATCAAAGAAGAAAAGGGGTGGGAGAGTATGAGTGGTGGTGCAGGCCTTTAATCCTAGCACTCGGGAGGCAGAGGCAGGCGGATCTCTGTTTGTTAGAGGCCAGCCTGGTCTAGAGTTCCAGGACAGTCAGGACAGAGAAACCCTGTCTCAAAAAAAAAAAAAAAAAAAAAAAAAAAGGAAGAAAAGAAAAAGAAAGAAAGAAAGAAAGGAATTGAGGAAGATAGGAAAGGGAGGAACAGAAATTACAATGCTAGAAAAGCAGAAGAGAAAGACAAATTGGTTGAGCTCATCGTTCCAGGCAGAGAGCCATCATATCTTCTTGTCTTCTCGACTCACTGTGCTCCTGGGGAACATCCACCGTATTTTTCAGTTGAAAATCCTAAATACCAAAAGATTTCAATAAGTCGACCAAGGGACAGGGCCAAAAAAGTATGAAAATGCTGGGAATGGCTAGTGAAGAGACAGCCAGGAAGCAGGGGACTCCACACTAAGCAGACCCCAGGGTAGCTCTTGATGTTTAGCAGAATAATTCCATGCATTAACACACACACACACACACACACACACACACACACACACAGAGGCACTGGAGAGATTGCTCAGTGGTTAGGAGCACTGGCTGTTCTTCCAAAGGACCCTGGTTCAATTCCCACACCAACATGACAGCTCTCAACTAATTGTCTATTGCTCCGATTCCAGGGGTCTGGCATCTTCACCAACATAAATACAGTAAGCCACCAATGCATATAAAAATAAAAACATTTAAAAAACAACAGTGTGAGTTCAGGACTAGCCTGGTCTACAAGAGCTAGTTCCAGGACAGCCTCCAAAGCCACAGAGACACCCTGTTTTGAAAACACCCCAAAACAAAACAAAAACCACAACAACAGCTAAGCACAGGGCCAAGCTCCAGGAGTCCTGTTAAAGAGAGAGAGGGAGGATTGTTTGAGTCAGAGGGGTCAAGGTCATGATAGGACCCACTGAGACAGCTGACCTGAGCTCTTGGGAGTTCTCCCCAATGTGAACACACAGCTAGGGAGTCTGCATGGGACCAACCTAGGCCCTCTACGTGTGCGACAGTTGTGTAGCTTGGTCTGTTTGTGGGGTTCCTAGCAGTGGGATCAGGACCTGTCCTGAGCATTTGAGCTGGTTTTTGAGAACCCTTTCCCCA